GGGTCCAGCCCAGCAGCCTCGCGAAAGTAGCTGTAATCCTGCATGTACAGAGACTCTCGGCAGCTGTTACGGAGATCGGCGATGGTCTCCTTAACCGGTGCATCCTCAGGTGCTTCTGCGGCTGTGATAAAGTGCTGTAACCAACGATCTGAAGCCCGTTCAATTGTTGTAGGATTCGCCCCGGTAAATTGCTGTTGGGCAAATCGGGCATCGCTGTACCAATCCGCCAAATCGCCCACATTGGGAAGATTAAATATATCTTTACCCAACCATCTTCTGCGTGCCCTCCTGTTATAATCTTCCACATCTTCGAGCTTTTCTCCTGCGTCTGGTCTGCCCATAGGGCCAAACCAACCATTTGCAGTTAACCTGGCAAGGTCTCTTATGAATCTACATGGCACAACGCTAGGTAAGAGAGAGCTTAACTGCAAAAGGCGCATCCTGTCAAAAATATCGGATGGTTGAAGTGTTGATCTCTGGTTGCTTTTGTCTTTTTCTGCCGCTGGCACATTGCCGGCAAGGTTAAGATGGGGTGGGTAACCGTCTGAGCCATCTGTGAATGCAAAGAACTTGAGTTTCTCGTCCTTAGTCAGGGGTGATGGAACCAAAGGCTCGAAATTGGCTACATCCATGAAGGAACTGAAACTGTCGAGATGTTAGCCATCTCGGAGGAAAGGGAAAGGTCCGATACAGTACCGCTGTTCTATGAGATTGTAAATCTTAGTAAGCGCGAGTTGAGTCCCCCGATATGTTCCTTCCTCAATCGGAGGGCCTTTTTCATAGGCTTTCCATTGTAAATTCTCGGGGTTTGGCTCGAAGACTTTAAGCTTCCCCGGCAAAAGTTTAAGTTCGGACAATTCATTGATCAATACGCCGGTGTCAATGTCGCCGACAGCTAGATCTTCAGGATTGCTGGGCCATTTCCCCTGAACATCAGGATAGCCAAGCACGACTCCAGGAGTCAGTGGAGTAGTGTTTTGAGCCATAACTGCGGGAAGGGAGTCGTATTGAGCGGCTAGATAGCCGCTAGACTCTCAGATGTAATTATGGTTGCATTAGATGATGTTGTGCATGGGATTGAAAGGATTTAAGTATTTCAAAGCTCTAAAGAAGAAGAGCGTAGGCTTCATTACTGTGACTGCTGCCTCATGATGTCATGACATCGGTCGAGAACCAACATCAGCATTCATGTAACAGACTACGTTGCAGCCGTATCTTACATCAACCAGTTCAGGGTTGAGGGAGGATCAAATGCACACACCCTCCGTGATTTTATTAATGGATGCTAGAACCTGCAAAGAACCCCCAAAAAAGATCGGGAGTCTGGACCCGTAACCGTAACACTCAATCAAGGGATGGGTGGCCATGAGGGGCTAGCCGCAGTGGGTGGGAGCGGGTTACCCGGAAGCTTCCACCTTACAAGTGTTAAGCTATGGTTACAGCGGCCAATCAGAGGCAGAGGCATTGCAATGTTCCATCGGAGTGGTGAAGAACGGGGGTTGCAGGTATAGGTGACGTATAAGACGCAAGTATTATTTGCAAGGTCTGATCTTCCGTAAGCTTGGCTCTGGGAGGAATACATTATCGCATAGCTTCATTCTATTCATGATCGACTTTGATGTAGCTCTGCATAATAAAAGAAAGCAATTTTATAAATCAACCATAGCTCTATAATCCACAACTCCTCCATCGACGCCTTGATTTAAAGTCCAATGAATTTGTTGCTACCGGGAAGGATCTGCCGTCTGATAATAGGGAAGAAAAAAGTTGTTAAACTTTTACTTGCGAGAAGAGTCATTAATACTGAACCCTGGATCTAGCCACTACTATGGGCTACGCGAAGGCTCGATTGCAACTGTTGTAGGCTTCATTCAATTGATATGGTACCCTTAATTTACGCTGCAATAATGGAAATCTGACCGTGAGATTCGCCGCGACACATGGCATGTGAATAGTTGTCCAGCTATACCAGCAAACTAATGACCTCACATACATGGCATAGAAGGAATTAGATCATTCTACCTATCAAGGATGAGCGAGAGTACAGTCATGATAGAGATATCACTGACGGCCAAGAGCGGCAATGGTCTTGATCAACAGTCAAGCTCCCAGCTGCTGCTGCCGCTTGCGGTCGTTGCCTAACGTCTAAGCAGTTGTGATATCGACGCCCACAGCGAGAATTCGAAGGGTTTACCGGAGTCCTATCTAGCAGCATACCAGGGGCACCCTGGATACCTGTATCATCTAGGTTGCCCAGTTTAACCCTTCTAAAGGAATGAGATGTCCTTATCTTATATGGGGTATTCCATCAGCATCTGACGGAATCCTGTCCGGGATGATCTGATAAGAGTAATATATATAAGTCTTATGGGTATCTAGCATTTTCCAAGATCCAGGTGATATATCCAAAAAGCACCAAGGACCAGACTGCAGCATATAAACAAAGAAAGTCCTCTATTCGGCCAGTACTTGGGGGACACTCTCTCGAGGCTGCTTGACCTGAACCTTATCCGACCCTTTCTGCTTCGATTTACAATGCCCGTTGGCCTTCTTCATCCATTCTCTCTGGGACACTGCCCATTCCTGGAACTTGTTGGGGTGCCGAACACACCAGAGAACCACCTCCCTAGTCGCCATTGTATCCTCCAAGCAATCGTGTCCTCTCCGCGATTGCTGAATATCTCGATCGAGCATCTGCTTGCACAGACGCTTCAGGCCCCAGCTCTGCTTGCAATCTTTCGCTACTGCCTCCCGAGAGAGGATAACCGTGTCAACGACACTCAAATGAACCATCCGCATAATGTCGAGGTCGTGTTGCAGCGACTGGCCCACAAGAATGGTGTTTGGACCGATGTGCGCCCATAGCGCTTTGCGAGCCTCTTCCCATCCATTGACAGTCTTTCCGGCCTCTTTCATGTCCTCGAGGAGTTTCTGTGACATTCCGCTCCAAGGAGTACGCCAGTCCGTCACCGTCCTGGACGGGACCACGTATTTCTCGACAATAACTTCACTGGTCAAGATATCGACGGCACAGATCTGCGCTACTTCCGCACTTCCTCCTTCGACCTCGACCATTTCACAGTCAAGTGCGACCACCCGCCGAGGTGAACAAAGTCCTGGTTCTGGCCTCGGCGTTAATCGATAATTTTTCCAGTTCTCCAGGAGAAAATCTTGAACAGGTGCGTAAACATGCCCCGGCAGTGAGGCGCATGCCTGCCTCTTTCCACAACATGGATACTTGTATTGCTTCTGCTGTTGATTGCGCTTCATCGGGTGGTAGAAACAGGCTGTTTTCAATTTGATGTCTAGAACTCGCTTGCGTTCTGCATCCCTTTTAGTATATTCGTTTATGCTATTAGTAGCGGATACAGTACGCACCTCGGCAATTCATACACTTTGCATAGCCCTCCACGTCCTCTTGGGTCATCTCGCGGACTTTGTATCCGGACCTGGCGAGGGTATCTAGATCATGGCATACTTCTTTCAGAGAGGCAATTACAGCCTCGTGCAATGGTCCAGGGATATCAGACCACTCATGTATCACGAGCTCTTTTTGCTTAGGGCCTTCCTTCTTTGCTGAGCTTTGCAGGGACTCGGTCGCTGGCCTGGCATATCTCCGGCTGCGTCTCGGTGCACGGCTTTTCTGCTGGGTCGCATGATGCTCCTTCGCCTCAGTAGTCATGACTACCTGATCCCCTGGTTTCCGAATACTGCTTACAGGTGCAGTGAAACTTTCCTTTGGACGGAAGACGAGCTCAACGTGTTGTACCGGTTGATCCATCTTGCGATTTAAATGATCGACAGAAGAATAAGCCCAGAGAATCTCGATCAAAATTTGAGCCGTGAAGGCACAAAGTTGTGTATGCGCGCTCAGCTGGTAGAGTCAACTGGATATACTTGTGGATGCCCTATAAGCGATATTCGCGATCGTTTGTCAACACTGTATATAACCTCAATACCCTGCTTCGATATTTAATTGCAAAAAAGTTCGACGACTCGGGCTCTCCTTCTGGATTAGCTTCCGGCCGTGATGGGACAGTGAGTCAGAAACGGGTTAAATATGACACTTATGACTTGCACGGGCAATTTATTTACAATTCTTCCCGATGATTCAAGAAGCCAGACCAGCTCGCATCTGAATTCTGACCACCAGTGCCTTGCACTGCGCGAATTGGCAAATGAAGCAGAGCGACTCGAGGGGCACGGATGCCTTGCTGACCCCGCAGCTGAATTCAGGGGGAGACACCACAGTGTCTGTAAGATTGTCTTAAAGCAAATGGTTGGCCAAATTGGTTCAACTTTTCTGTCATTGAACGAAAATGCTGATTATGAAAGTACTGATATTTTGCGACAGAAAACACTGTGAAAGAGATGCGAAATAGGAGCTCGATCAATGTCTTGTTGGACCGAGGGGTTCGTAGAGGTGGGACTAGCTGGCCCCATTCGCAAATCCGTACGTTGTCCCACCCACGGTGGATCTAGATTAACCCGCATGGATTTGAAGGTGGGTTAGATAGGTGGTGATTTGTGGTGATCTAGACACTTATACCAGTAATCTGTTATGCAGCCTCACTGAATGAATGCCCTTGACAAAGAAGCCAGTGCCGGAGGATCTGTGTGGTTCAGCTGGCCACCAAAAGACTCAAATTTAAATGCCTTCATATATCCACCGGGAGAGAAAGCCCAGCTAGATGCAGGCTCGCTCTTGCACTTCAAATGATATTCGTTGCTTGTCCCACGTTCCTAACTATTGCCGTCACCCCACCATGGTTAAATTATTTACCACAGCTGTCAGCATTTTTAGACGGCTTATCAATTGCCCTTACTTCTGTCCTCTTGTTTGCCGTTTGGCTCACTATCCGTGACCTCTACTATTGCGTGTGTATTGGCCCTCGGTTTATGCCTGTCCCTGAAGCCTAACTTCGACGCGATCGTGTACATATCGCAAACTTGTTCCTCCCTGGTCGTCACGTTGGAGGTGTCGTGCATTTCGACCATCCATGCCACGGTGGCGTCTGGCCGCAATTTCAGGCGCCTATCCAAGCCACCGAGCCCCATTCGCCCTGTCCAGCGTATGTTTTGTTATCATTTCACAATGTTACTTCTGACGTGCCCAAGGCTCTTGCCAACCATGGTACTCTTGCCAAGCTGCGATGCCCTTGTCCGCTGCTGATCTGAACACGGCGCAGACATCCTGCCCCGCAGTGGTAAACACATCAGCTACAAGCAACTGTCGCTTGTCATCCAACATGCCTATAACCTTGCGCCATGCTCGCCAACCAGCTCACTGCTTCGGCCCATCAGCTTGGCCAAGGGCGGGTTGGATCGACATGCAGGACCTCAGTGCTTTGAATGTCAGTCATCCCAGAATACAACTACGTAGATCTGAATGCGCACTGACCCCTGATCTCACAGGTCATCTAGCACGATGCCTCATTTACACGTACGTTCCTCATCCGGACTTCCCGGGCTGGCCGTTGGTGTGCTGGCGCGCGAAATGCACAGGTCCCGACATCGCGTTCTGTCCCGACCAGGGCGTCCCGCACCCCGACCTAGTAGACAATTTCCTCTCCCACGCATCGAATGGCAAATCCCTCTCGCTCGATGACGTAGTCTACTTCTCTGGCCTCCGCGGCGCGGAGTGCAGACGTACCAATGGCCAATACTCAAGGACGTGGAACTTCCTGCACCAGTTCTTCGGTAGTCTCCTCCTCCTTTCCAGCTAGAGCGCTGACGTTTCTCACCAGTGCGTGCTTGCATACCCAGACTCCGGAAACCACGCGCTCATGTACTCGATCTTTGGTGGTGATGTGACCGACCTCCGGGTTTGGCTTGCCGAGGCGCGCTTTACTGACCAGTGGGAGCCGAAAAATAGAGAAGCGCGAGGGCACACGGTTCTGGCAACTTGTCAAACCTTGCTTAAAGATATATTCTGGCGCGTTGACTGTCGTGGTGCACGCAGCAAGCGATGAGCACGACGCTCATAATCGAGTTGAACATCATTGAAAGGCAGAAGTTCCGGTCTGAGAACACGGTCTCGAATGAGGCAAGGGAGCTGCAGATGCCCTGGCTGGTCCGAGCTGTTTTTATGTTGGCTCGCAGTATTCTAGCTCTGTTCATCGCTTGTCCTTAATTATTCTTCAGCTGGTGCGGACAGTGAGTGAAATCTTGAAATATCTAATGTTGAGATGGCTCCTTACGTTGGGTGTCCCCGAAATTAGGTGGAAGGGTCAGTTAGTAGAAAGGTTAAAGGGACCCATTGTATTCAATAAAGCAGCGATGTGATTACCTTATGGCTGATGAAGCTTCAAGAACGGCTAGCAATGCTATCCTATACAAGTGCCATTAAAAAGATGAGGTTCTGGGCGGATTTGATTGTGTAAAAGGGCTCATATAGCTAGGGAGGTCGCCATTACATCTTAGAAAGCTCTGTCAAATGGGGTATGCAAGGGATACAAATCATACAATGGTACTAAGATATGCATACCATGATGGGGGTATGTGTAACAGAAAGATAGTTTATTTTGGATGATCTCGGGCATTCCTGGCTTCCTTGATTAAGCGGAAACTACTTGACGTGATTTGTGTTCTCTCAAACTCTGTACTCTTTCTCAGAGACGTGTGCCTTTCCTTTTACTACCCATTGGAATTAATTGTTGGGGCAACGGTATTAAATAGATTGTAGTACTACTGAATTGCGTGTGTAATGCCCACAGCTAGGTATGTATAATAGCATTGCTCAAATCTTCCTCCTCCCGCGAATCCTGCGCAGCTGTATTTTGTACGGGATCTGTGACGATCTAACGAGCCAAGTATGTCGTGCCCCCTTGCATTGACTGCAAAATATCGGTGTACAGCAAAATAAATCATAAATCCTGCCTCTTAAATTGCCTCATCCCAGCCAAATTTACCTAGGCTACTAACCTTCCAATCTTACGTTTAATCCTGTGCAAGCTTAAAGAATCACAATGACTGTCACATCACCACCAGGACCAAGTCGCCGGATATTCCTACTCGCCCAACCGCGCACGGCGTCGAATCTCTTGGTCCGACTGCTGGGACTAGAAAATCAATCCAATGTCTATTGGGATGAGCCTAAATCTTGTCCATTTGTCGACAGAAACCACTTGAACACACTTATCCCACTGGCAAGCAAGCCTGTTGACGAGTGGACTGAGGATGAAATAGCCGAAGTTAAGAAGGGTTTCCAGCGGTGTTTCAACAAGCTTGACCAATACGTTGCTGTTGGAGAAAATGATGGCAAGGTCATATTTGCAAAAGATCACTGCAATCTAATGTGGAGGCCGGACGTGCATAATCATCTTAATGACAAAGCCTCCAAGGAATTCGAAGTCTCACTGTCACCTCGCCATGAGTTTGCCCAAGAAGAAATGCCGCAAAACCCCACAGTCTTACCTTCGCAGTACTTGGTAACCTGGCGGCCTATATTTGTGATACGACATCCAGCTCTTTCGTTCGCCTCCTATTATCGAACTTCTCTCCGAGCTCACGCTTCTAAAGATAAAGATATGACGCCGCTCCGCCGTGAGGCGCTGGAAAAGCACAGGAAGACTCAGATGTCGTTCTCCTTCACCAGATCCCTGTATGATTGGTATTTGGAATGGTCTACCAATCAAGATGATACAAATATGGTACCCGTCCTGCTGGATGCCGATGATTACATCAACGACCCAGAAATTGTTCGTCATCTTGCTAGAGAACTGGAGCTGGATGAGTCGAGTGTGCAGTGCTCGTGGAGTCCAAGAAGTTACGAAGGCGCCGACTACTTTTTGACAGTGTGGCGAGACACGTTGGACTCATCAAGAGGTGTCCTAAAGGACAAAATGGCGAGAAATTTGGATATTGGATATGAGTATATGAAGTGGAAGGCGGAATTCGGAGAGAGTGTTGCCCATATGCTTCTGGATTGTGTTATGAACGCGATGCCTGATTATCACTATCTCAGATCCAAACGATTTTGTTAAAAGATCTCGCCCATTTTATCTCGCTTTGGCTGTTATGAGAGTTTAAATGTTCCCCTACTACAGTCCTTACATCCCTCTGCAAAGTGTCGACAGAAATTCAAATACACAAATTAAGTAACATGGAATCGAGGAGGATAAGAGCTCTCTTGAAAATGTACTGCCAATGTAAAACCTAGAGATGTTTGACCTACATTACGAAAGAAGTTCTTAATCTGGTGGTGTGGGGAGCGCGCAGATAGTGAGTGATAAAGAGTTGAAGAAATGGCGGCCAAGTCATCTGGTCGTCTAATTCCAGACATTCAGCCTTCCGAGGGCGCATAGTTATAATAGTGGTAGGTCTTGGGGTGAAATCCCATCCCAGTGTGATATGTCTTCCAGAACCTGCATCTGTATGCTGTTCCCCTCTAGGTATGTGATAGGATGATCTCCATGTACTCTCCAAGGGTATCGCCGTGGGAAAGATGTTACCAGCATCTGGAAGAGCGGTGTATAGTACCAAGCCAGAATTATAAGCCCCTCTCATAGCAGTTCCCGGCAACTCTAATGAAGACTACCGTTCAGAACAAGCCGAATCCAGTCTAATTACTGTATATTTATGATCTTAACCGGCATCATGAACCTGATGGGTAGATTGGCTTAAAACTCCTACTGGGTACTGGACACGAACTGAGGTAAACTCACTGTAAGCGGAGAGTATGGATTTTAGCCATGTGTATATCTGTATGGAAATGCTGTACGACTTCTCTCGATGCTTAGTATCCCATGGGGTAGATTTATATAAAAGAGTTATATAATAGGATTAAGGCTTTCTAACCCTTTATACATAAATATATATCCATATAAAGAAGCTTTCTATCATACGATGAATGTATTAGACATCCTCTATTAGATATGAGTTTTGCGGGGGAAACATGTGTTGTTGCAATACTTTTAAGCACTCTGCAGTATTCCTGAGTGACAGAAAACTACAGCGACAACTGGAAGCTAGTCAAAGTCGAACGATAGACCCGTATCAGCCATGCGGTCCCGGTACATTGAATCAAAGACCTCCGTCTGCTTGGCAGTAAATTGCTCCCTCCAAGAGCCAACTTTGCCCTTGCGAAAAAAGCAAGTGTGGCCATCCCGATTGGCCAAACTGCTGAATCCGTTGGTTTTCATGTTGGAAAAGCTCACGGTATCCCTGATCTCTTTTACCACCGCGTCGTCGACCTCAATGTGGAGGTAATCAGCAATCCTCTTCAGTTCTGAATCAAAGTTCTTCTGCAGATCTTCGTATTTCACGAACAGGACATTCTCTTGGTGTCGTTTCTCCCACCAGCTCAACACATGGTCAAACCAGTCCCCTCGCTGCACCTTCCCCCTGACGAACATCTCAAACCATCTGTCCCAACCGCCGTCAAAAAACCCGGACCAGCTCTGATTTCGTTCAAAGTAGTAATAAGAAGTGCACACATCCTTTGGGTTCCGAGCGATGTAGATATATCGGCAGGGGCTTCGCGCTGGAGTCCCAAGGGCCATATGATATGGCATGTGTGATTTGAAGATGCGAGGGTCATCTAACTGGGCCAAATCCTCCGCAGTTCCCTGGAAAGTCCGGTCACTTTCAGGCCAGACGTACGAAGTTTCAAGGGAGTCCTTTTTCTTCTGGGTCAGCAACACCAGGATATAAGCCAGCCAGGTCGTCCCGGATTTCGGGTAGGAGACAAAACAAATGTCCGTTGGCCGTGTAGGAAGGTTTCGAGAGGAGGCGAACGACTCGTCTGTTATTTCCGGCGGCATGACCCAGCCTTCAAGAAGCCGGTATCTGTAGCCAGATAGTTCGTCATCTTCCGGGTGATCAAGCTGAAGGGCGGGTGCCATCTCAGAAGGAAACAGGATGATAAGAGTCCAACCACTTTGATGGCCGCTGAGAAGGATTGAGGAGCTTGAGGTGGGTAGACGCTCGTGTGTGTTTTGTATAGATGATTGTAGAATTGCGGTCACACAGTATCTGCCAATTTCAACAAATTCTCCTGAAATGTGCATTGCATCTAATGCATATGATCCATCGATTTTACGAAGACCAACAATACCAGTGATAGTTGACCCCACTCTACTACCCGCTTAGCTACACTATCCTTGATTCGATTAGAGACTGCATGCCATTTGACACGGACACAGGCGTGAGATATGCTAAAGACCTTCCTTCGAGCACTTTCATTCTATCATGGTGTGAGAAGTGGACTGCATCATCTTGAGTATATTCCTTTTTCCGGTAAAGGACCTCCGACATGAGCCTTGAAAGGTGCCTAGTGCCTCTGGCCACGAATTTACAAAGTCCACCAGAATATGTTGTGCTGTAAATATTCAAATTGGTTTACCTTTTGCTGAGTTCTTCAGCCTATACGGCTGACTGACTGTCATTTACGAGATTGAAAGCATTCGATACTACATGGTGGCTGACTGGCCCAAAAATGAGGTGGGAAGTAGCGGTGTAGATGAGGTGTTCCTCTGAATCTGCGAGTCTCGGACAATTTCAATGCATTAGCCCCTCATCGGAGTTACTGCTAGAGGCACATTCGGAGCAAGTTGGGCCAGGTACAGGGGACTCCTTGCCTCAGCTCCCTCTAGTCTTGGGAAGAAGTTTTAGAGACGAGTAACGCTTAATGACCTTCAATGATGGGATTCATTTAGAGGATAAGTGAATGAGTACTTGTACTGTTTTCCTACCACATATGCTTATATCATATATATAATCGACTTGTGAAAAAGCAGCCCCTAAACGATTAAGATAGTCCATTTGACCGTACAGGCCTTTCTTTTGGACAGAGCATAATGCATCTAGTAGACGTGCTGATTGTTGGAGGGGGCCCATCGGGGTAAGCATTCTGGTTTTCTCATACGATTATGGTATGATATGATATATGGCGACTTGATACAGATATTGACATGATTTTAGCCTAACACTGGCCACATGGATGGCACTGACAGGCGTCAGGGCGCTGTTAATTGAGAAAAGAATATCTGGAACACACATCGGCCGTGCAGATGGTCTTGAAAGTCGCACCCTGGAGATCCTGGACAGCTTTGGGATAGGCCAGCAGATATGGAGTGAAGCCAATCGCACTATTGAAATTTGTCTTTGGGTATGCCGGTAGAGCTTGTTTGCATCTTGGCTTTGTCTCTCCACTCTATCTCTCTCCCTCTCTCCAGCGAGACATCAGATTTTGATACGTTCTGCAGGATGACAGTAAAGACGGCCTCCTTCAGCGACAAAAGATCTCTGCAAACACAGAGCCAGGACATTCTAGGTTTCAAGAATGCACGCTGAGCCAGGGCAGAGTTGAGGAGCATCTACAGAAATTGATCGAGAAGCATAAGAATGTCGAGATCCGACGAGGAACAGTTCCCACTTCTCTCGAAATTGACCATGCCCTCCTTGATGATCCTAGTGCATATCCCATTCGAATGCGCGTGGGGGACGCTCCCGTAGAATCACGCAGTGTTCACAGGCCCACAACCCCGGAGAAAAATGCCTCATGTTCAGAGTGCCATTGTGAGGAGGTAGCAGCCAGATACGTAGTCGGGTGCGATGGAGCTCACAGCTGGGTGAGGGCACAACTTGGACTTCGCCCCCAAGGCAATTCTCTCAATGAGCAGTGGGGAGCTCTTGATATTGTACCAATAACAAACTTCCGTTCGTCTTTCCGGTACCTTTGAAATCGTGTCAGACCGGCTGGCTCACATGGGGTTCTAGCTGACATCCGCAAACGAAACGTGGTCAAAACCAAGTTTGGGAACCTTATGATCATTCCGCGAGAGAGAAGGATGGTGCGGGTGTATGTCCAAGTATCCCACACCACTGCCGCAGAGTACAAAGACCGTGAGGATTACGAATTGCTTATTGACACTATTCGGATCATCATGCGGCCCTATTCCTTTGGTTATTCACATGTCGAATGGTCTACTGTATACAATGTAAGTCACAACCACCATTTGCCACGCGACGGACCCAAATGTGGTGTTATGATCTGATCCAAGTCCAGGTTGGCCAATGGATCTGCCCTCAGTTTTCCCACGCCAACCGCGTCTTCCTCACTGGCGATGCCGTGCATGCACATTCCCCTAAGGCAGGCCAAGGTATGAATGTCAGCATCCAAGATGCCTACAATCTCGGATGGAAGCTTGCCTCCGTAGTGCTTAGCGACCTACGCCCGAGGATGCTACAAACATACGGAGAAGAGAGGCTCATGGTGGCGGAAAGACTGATCACTTTTGATAAACGCATCTGCCGATGTATGTGTGGAGTGAAGCCAGGGACGAGACCGTACGGCTCGTTTGACAATGACCATAAAAGCGCTCTTAAGGAGGAAAACTCATCGGCATCAGGGATGGCAGTCACTTATGCACCCAACGCATTGATTAGCACAACTGAGCCACAGTGCTGTCTTGACAGGGTTGGATTGGCGCTGCCATATGTCAGCAAGCCGCATCTGGCAAGGAATATCAAGATCGGTGCTAGGATGCCCAGCGAAATCGTGGTCAGCCAGAGTGATGCGCAGCCGTGGCAAGTTCAAGGTCTGCTGAAAAGCACGGGGGAGTGGAACCTGATTGTCTTTGGCGGCGATATCTTACAAGAGACTCAAAGAAAACGAATCGATGCACTGGCGACAGCACTCTCCAGTGAGGGCTCATACATACACAGACTAAATGAAAGACGCCATGAGGGATATGTTGTTGGGACTATCGCCATCTACCTGATTCATTCCGCCAGTAGACTGGATATTGAGCTATTTGATTTGCCAGAAATCTTCAGGCCGGTCAATGATAGGCATGGGGTGGACTATGGCCGTGTTTATGCGGATGAGAAGTCGTATCACTCCGGCGGAGGCAATGCATATTCATCCTATGGTATTGCACCAGAAGGATGCATGATTCTCCTGAGACCGGACCAGCACATATCATTTATTGGAGATTTTGAAGACGTTGGCAGTCTCTCTAGATTTGTTGCTTCTTTTACACGGTAGTGTGGCCGATCTAAGAGCTATCTGCTATCAGACATCGAAAGGCTCTAGACAAACTGCTCCAAAGCCTGTATCCAATATGTTCGAGCTTACAGGATGTTCCTGTAGGCTTACTGGAGGTGGGGAGCAGGCAAAAGCTGCTGCAGAGCTTAAAATCCGGACATGACTGCCATTATGTGCTACTGCAATAGGACATACTATAAAATACTTTGTGTTTCTACGTATATCCTCCTGTAGATTATGCACGTGGATTCTCGCAATTGGTGATAGGTTGTGGAACGATCTAAGTCAATCTATGTTTCTCCCAATAACCCACACAATCCTTGACTGGTAATGGCACGCTCAATCCTCCTCCTCCGGGGGATCATAGATCTCCCCGGCCGGCGTCTTCTGCAACTTCACCCCATCCTCAGTGACAATCTCTTTACTGGGCACCACAACAACAAATAACCTCGCCACCGTATTACCCCGATTAATCCACTCATGATTCACCCCACGGACAACAATCACATCGTGCTCCTTCAACACTTTCTCCTCCCCGCCATCCGTCCGGAACCCCACCGTCCCAGAAAGCACAACCACATAATCCAAGGACAGCGTACGATGCATCCACCCCACTTCCGCAGGAGGCAGATCAATGATCCGGCACGAGGGACCCTTGGTATCGGCCAGAGGGACAAGAGTCCGGTGGGGTTCCTTGATCGGGCGCATGTTGTCGACGGGGAAGCCGCGGGATCGGTGGATTTGGATCACGCCGAAGCCTGAGTCGGGGCCTGGGGCTTCAAATCGTGGAGCGGTGATTGGATCGTAGGGTTGGAGGAGCTCATCTGAAGCGAAGTAGGCTTTGCCTTTGGAGTCGTGCGCGGTGATGATGCGACGAATGGGGGCGGTCATGTCTGTGGGCTGGGGCGGGATATCCTTTGAATCTGCCATTGTGGGTTCTGAGCTTTGGGAAATAGAAATTGGATGACGGTAGGACTGCGTCTTTGAAGGATGGAGAGAGAGTGAAAAGCAGCCTTTTATATTCAGCTGAATCAATGACCACTAGTCGTTTTATATAGTTGATCAGCACTAGAGAGGCGTGCGATAAGCTTGGTAATCTCACCATTTATAATCGTCAATTTGTAAGCAACCATTTGTCCCAGAGTGTTGCAAACACTTGCCTAATTTCAAGCCTTGCAAAAGCTTCCATACCTGCATTAATCAATTGTTATTGTTGAGTACAGCGCAGAAGAGGTATGGCTAAATAATGGTTGTACAAACATATAGCGGTGTTGCATGGTTGTACCACATATGTCGAAGCAACTAGTCCGCTGCTCGTTTGACAGTGGATCATATAGCCATGTTACACAGGGACTAGAGAGATATCCGACCGGAGAATTAGGTTGCATGATGCAGTTGTCCTGGTCACCTCGGCATAGAACGGTTGAGGTCGTTGGGGGTTGGGAATGTCCTGAAATCTGGCATTGTACTTGTTTGCCAGCAGATACACTCAAGCATAACGGGCTGTGTGGCATTGACAGGTACTAAATTGTCGAGGTATGCGCGATCTCTGAATCAGACAATAGAGTACCCCCTAACATGCAGCCTAACGCGCTTAGCATTACAGATCAAGATGACTCCGTCAGTTACCGAAGCGACGTATATACGTTGTTCTTTTCCGGGGTCGGCTTGCCCCGACCTTTGGCACGTAGATGCGCCAGGGAACCAGCCTCGTCGGCTGCGTCGTTTGCACGGTTGCGGCTCAGCGGCGTCTGCTATTATCGTGTCTGCATCCAACAATCTATGATACGACTCAACGTCAATATCCATTGTCCTGAGTTAGAGTAAGTTTCAGACCAAATAGGCCTTCAAAGAGGAAATAGACAAAGATAGCCTCTTGTCACATATCTTATATTCTTACGCAGCTGTAGGGAGATCCTGGTTTTATTTCAACATACAATTTGCATTAGTTTAAACTGAATTTGTCTCGTCGGTTCCTTCAACTAGTTCAACCAACCTCCCAACTATATCGAGCTCCTCATCAGAGAGACTTCCCGCTTCATCCGCAATCATACAATATACCCCCCGAGATATCGCCTCTTTTATGTCATCATATGTACCTCTGATCTCTTCCCACCTGGCACTAAACGGACCCGGGCTCGTGCCTTCGATCATCCATTTGTGAGGTCCTTTCCCTTGGTCCGACGACAGATCACCCTTCCACCACAACAGCCGACCTTTGGGATCAACATGGACAAGGGCAGACCCGCAGACTTTGACTCCGTCTCGGTCGTGTGCACCCTCCCCGATAACCCCACCATAATGGTCCGGCTCTACATACCGAGCACCAGCCATCTCGAGTCCTCGCCACCAGACTGCCCTACTGCCATACCTCAAAGGATGCGTGAGCTCTTTCCGAACATCATACGAGTGCTGCCAGCACACGCACAGAAGCCCTAGTAGGATATCGAGCCGGCCTTTATCGAAAAACGCCAGACCAGCGTCTACGATAAATAGAGCCTGGTCCACAACCTTCGCAGGCAGAGTGTATCTGTCTACATCTGGTCCAATGTACCGGTCCCAATCCGCGGGATCCCGGTACGCATGATACCAGAACAGTCTATCCTTCGACATCCACGCGCCAGCGTGCGTGATCGCCTCGTCCTGGAGAAAGGTGTCCGGTAGCTGGAAGAATCCCACGTCCGGGTCGGCGATAAGCACCCGTTCAAAACGCGACGCAAGCGCCGCGAACGGCTTGATTTCCCAGCCCCCCTGCTCAAATTGCGTGACGTATGGATTAAAGACGGTGTTGATATCGAGGAACTCAATAGGCGGGCCCGGAAAATCTATCCGCGATAGCAATTCCCTATTCTCAGCTGCCAGGTCGTGGTCTCCTGCGTACGCAATCTGGACCGGAAGCGTAGAGCCCAACACCGAGCGCAGATTAAGCAAGAGTCGCGCCGCAGACCGGACACTCTTATCACTGGTTGGGATCACAATCCCTGTTGAATCAGGCTCGAAAGACGCCTGAAGGTCGGCCAGCGGACGCTGCAGCTGCGAACTCGGATGCTGATTCAATCGCTCTTTCAGGAACGGAAAGGTAGACGCCGCAAGCTTCTCGGCCATGTCGTTTAGGAGGTCCTTTGCGGCAGAGTCATCTGACTTCCGGGCTAGGTTCAGCCACTGTCGCAAGAGACCACTGCGTCTGCCTACATTGCCGTATGCTTGTTGGTATGGTGGATGGATTGGATGCCTGGTTGTGTATCGGAATAGGGACTTGACCAGGTTTATGTCGGGATTCTCATCCGCGAGGGGCCGGTAGAACAGCCAGAAGTCGTCGGATACGCTCGGATTGGCAAAGAGGTATATTGTGCAGAGAAGCACTACGCCGCATACCAAAGCCACGAGACGGATGGAACGTGGGCCGATTAGGCCGTGCAGGAATCGCATATGTCCAGAAGGCTCCGACTTAATGACAAGATTATTTTTGGAAATGGAGCCAGGTATATTGACATGTTATGACATGATATGAATACTTTGGAGCAACCTGCAGGATTTGCTGGGCGGAATTTTGAAGATTAGTAGCAGCATCTGACGCTAATACAGAAAAGTACTAGATGTAAGCTCAAGTCGGAATGTTCCGCAGCCCGCTCTTTGGGGGAGAGAAAAGCTCTAAAAACGACAGTAAAGTATAGTGTTCGACCTTTATGATAATATATCCATAGATCGCTGTCCTTCGAAGAGCCTTGATCTATCAGAATCTATTGTCTGAACAAAGAAATGAGCAGCTCCACGCCATAGTCCTTACCCTTCATTGAGTGGATCAGTCAGCCACCACCAAATTCACCAATCAAACCAGCCCAACAGATGCACGGCATGAGGGGAGCAGTTCCACAAGTACGTACACGTACTGTAATCTCGGGATCTGCACTGGGTGGGGATGCCCCAATTTCCAAGATTTGAGTCGCCATCGGGAATTTATCAGGCTAGCTCAACCTATGTCAGAGACAGAATATGGCAGACATGCTCGTTGTATTTCGCTCACAATGTCAAGTTTCTACTCATTCCAGTGGTTAGAATTCTGATTGCAGCTCCCCTGAAGGCGGCACCACAGCTAACGTACGGAGCTGCCGCGCATTCTACGAGGATCTAACCGGTCACCGACGCTGCTCTGGAGTTAAGTAGACAGTACTAGCAGAGGAGGATCCGCCTCTCGTATTATTGAAGGAGACGTTGTCACAGAGTACAATAGCCGGGCTGGAAGAAATGTACAGCCGTGAATTGTCATAGGGTATTACAACGCTCAGTAAATACATGGCTATGCTATACAGAACCCTCGTATTCTGACTGGAGAAACGTGCTCGACCACCCGCTTCCTATTGCAAACGCAAGCAGAGTATCCGTCTGTGGTGCTGAATCTACGCTATCGCTCTCGGTCGAGTCCAAGACAAAGGAATCCTCCATTTCAAACTGTGCGTCATTTAATCCCTGACCGATGAAGGGATCCTCCGCACAGACCGTCCACGGATTGAAGTTCTGACAGGTATATACCGTTTGCGTTAAATTAGGGCTCGGTGTCCTTGACTGAACCCCGGTATCTCCGCATGAGAATGTGCGATTCAATGGGGTTGATGCGTAGTTATGACAGGGTACGTTGTATTGTATGGTGAAAACTCTATACGAGCCCTCCTCGAGATACTTTGGTTTCTTCCGCTCGCCATCGCGGCAGGAGTCTGCACAGCCGCGCTTTACGCAGGATTGACATGGCCGCTCGTTTCCTGGTGGATCGGATCAGTTATTGCTAAGACCCTGGTCTTACTGCAACTTTGCTTACCACATGTTTGATGCGATTTCTGACAAGCAGAGCAAGCTCTTCTAGCCTTCTTTCTTCGCGGTCTTGGGGCGACGGTTGTGTCTGCCATTGATGGTCTCGTGCCATTCGGGCCTTGAGAATGAAACGATGTGGCCATTGCTTTTTGTGGGGTGTCTTGTTGCAGTAGCAATGACGCAGATATAAAATCTCATAATGGACGTTAATGCCGATGTTAAATATGCGTACTAGGGAATTACGATAGAGCAGCACAGCCAAAACAACAGTTCAAAAGGGATAATGTGGCTGCGATCAGCGTCCATAGCTACTGAGCGGCTCCGCCGACTGATCTGTGGTATGCGAACCCCAAGGTCTAGTGTTTGATTGCCAGTTCAGGTGAGTGAGACATAGTAGGATCTAGCAACTAATTTTGCGCCATCAGGGTCGATTTACGGCACCAACCAGGAAGTCAGACAACATTCTGTTCGATTCGAGAGATAGGGACAGAGTTCTCTATGCCAACGGTAGGATGATCGAGGCCAAATCCCAAATAGCCAATGATTTTTCGTGAAAACGGAGGGCCTACCTCTATGAGCGGGTCCGCAAAGGGAAATCCTATGTCAAGATTGGCAAGCCATGCCCCTCCCGGAGCGGCTCCGAACGTTCAGACGTATTAGAATATGCGGGACCTGGGACAAAATGTCTGGAAACATGTGGATGGCCCTTACCAATCAGATGACTACATTTGTTTCTCCTGAGGGCTTCATTCTCGAGACAACGGCTCTGGTCGATCCGTCTGGGCCTCGAGATTAGAGTTTGTGCGGAACCGCACAAGGCCTTCCCCGCAGCCGCTGTCACTCGGCAGTTATCCGCCGTATTATTAGCTTTACGCTCGATTTCAGCCTTCTGGGAGTTAGTGAACCAGAAAAGTGGCTTTGCTATGACTCGGACATATGGAACTCTATTTCTTTGTTCTTGATTCAGGTAAAGGCATACTTTGAACGACGCCATGAGGGCCCCAGAACGCCCAGCTATGATTGGTTGGCGTGCGCACTATTGTCGGATTTCCCCCCGCATATCGGGCTCTTAGCATGAGCCACTGGATGAGCTCTAGCTTCTACTGTATCATAGTATAGAATGTATGCTCTCGGCCACAAGGAAGCAGATCCGGAATTATTGCCTGAAGCGTTCTATGCGCCAGAAATTCGAGAGAGAAGTGGTGAGATACCCCACGGGGATGGCTCTAGACTCGTAGTCGTAGGGATCTGGGGAAATGGAGCGCATCCGGAGAAAGCTGCCACTCCACAGTAAGCAAACTGCATTGGCTCATATATCAGCGCTGAGAGATATAGGCCAATCATCAATCTCACAGTGCCACCATGAAAGACTCCACTGGACTGCGTATCCACGTTCCCCTCTCAATTGCAATCCGTATGCCCGTCTGTATAGCAACTCTGACCCCAGTGGAGCAAGGGAACACTTTATCTCCAACTTATAGTTGCCAAAGATCTATAAGTACCATCAAGGTACTCGAGTCAATCCAGATCCATCTCATCAATCATCAACCGCATCGCTTTAGTTACCCACAATCTCAATTCCTCCCACAAACTTCGCCCCACCAATAACAACCATGACTAAGGAATCCATCCCCTCCTTGCAATGGGCCCAAGTGGCTGAGAAAGTCGGCGGCCCCTTGGTGCTCAAGCAAATTCCTGTCGCCAAGCCCGGCCCCGACGAGATCCTCGTCAAGATTCGCTACTCAGGCGTCTGCCACACCGATCTCCACGCCATGAAGGGCGACTGGCCCCTACCAGTCAAAATGCCTCTCGTCGGCGGGCATGAGGGTGCCGGCATCGTAGTGGCCAAGGGCGATCTCGTCTCCGAGTTCGAGATTGGCGATCACGCCGGGATTAAGTGGTTGAACGGGTCATGTCTCGCATGTGAATTCTGCAAGCAAGCGGATGAACCGCTTTGTCAGCAGGCCTCGCTCTCGGGGTATACCGTCGACGGGACCTTCCAGCAGTACACGATTGGCAAGGCGACGCATGCATCTAAGATTCCCAAGAACGTGCCCCTGGATGCGGTGGCGCCGGTGCTATGTGCGGGTATCACTGTTTACAAGGGATTGAAGGAGTCCGGGGCTCGGCCTGGGCAGACTGTTGCTATTGTTGGTGCCGGTGGTGGGCTGGGATCGCTGGCGCAGCAATATGCGCGTGCCATGGGTTTGCGTGTTGTCGCTATTGATGGCGGGGATGAGAAGAGGGTGATGTGCGAGCAGCTTGGTGCCGAGGTTTGTTACAGTCCGTCGAACAGACGGCGGGATGCTAACTGCGACAGGCATACGTCGATTTCACCAAGTCCAGTGATCTGGTCGCTGATGTCAAGGCGGCCACTCCGGATGGGCTGGGCGCCCATGCTGTGATTCTCCTGGCTGTTTCGGAGAAGCCCTTCCAGCAGGCTACCGAGTATGTTCGCTCGCGCGGTACTGTCGTTGCTATTGGATTGCCTGCGAACGCCTTCCTGAGGGCACCGGTTCTCAACACAGTCGTGCGCATGATCAACATCAAGGGCAGCTATGTCGGCAACCGACAGGATGGGGTCGAGGCTATTGATTTCTTTGCTCGGGGCCTGATCAAAGCTCCTTTCAAGACGGCTCCTCTTGAGGATCTGCCTAAGATCTATGAGCTCATGGGTATGTACATACCTTTCAATCATGCGTGATCTAGCTAACAATTTGATAGAACAAGGCAAGATTGCTGGTCGCTACGTCCTTGAGATGCCTGAATGAAATTGCAATCTTACGTTGCTGTAGTTTTTGTTTTGTTTGCGCATATGAAGAGTGTCTGGCGACGACGAATAAGGATGGGCATATGTCGCTGATATTAGCATTAGTCAATTCAAGCCAGATATTGATTCTGAATATATCTTGCCTCTGTTTGATCAGACATGGGTACACTGAATGCACTGTAATTTGGACTTCCTTGGGCTATGTATATATCAATCAAACACTACTTTTTTAACTTCATATTGAATTATGTCTTAACGGAAACGGTGCTATTGTTGCTCATCACCATGGCCAATAATTGCCAACGGTGTAGATAATATATTACATTTTCCTGTCCCAGACAGTACAAAACCTGTCATTAAAGGGGCATGGACATAATTGTCGGATTCATTCTGCGCGTAGACGGTATATTCGTGTCCGAAAGCAAAAGGTCCGATAGAATAAACAGCACCGGCACATCATCACCCGAATCCTACCTCCTCCAGTATCATTCGGGTTAGCAGTGACTGCTGAATGTGATACCCCGCTGTGCTGATCCGCTGCCAAGCGTATGCGGATCCGAGAGCGGCTCCGATCTGAGCTAGAACAGATTAAGTTCCAACAGGACCCACCAGTTATCTAGTCTGTTGTTCCTCCGCGGATTCTCGGACTTGCCTGGCTGACTCCGAGTCTCCGGACAAACTTCTTTGAGATGCGGGGGTAGTTTGTTACACATAGTGACAGTCATGACCAATTGAAGTGTTGCATATGAGATCACTTGACATTATCCAATACCAATGCTCTGGCGTGCTTTGTGTAACTCGAGGTTCCAGCTGTCCGAACTCCCCACAACTAGTCCATGGAAGAATTGCCTCTTCAAGCAGTCCTAGAACCCAGGGAGGGCTGCGGATGTTCGTCTCGTGGCAGCCCACTAGTGGATCTCAGGCAGGACAGATGCGGAACCTCAGGACAGTACCCCAGTCGCCGACACTAACCTAGCGTTAGGAATAATGAAGAATGTGGAGTGCGGGGGGTTGGAGACGCGGAGTCATGGATCCTACTGTTTGCCTTTCTATTTGTCACCATCCTTGCTATCCGCCCTTGGCCCGGTGCATATGCAACGGAGACTGTCCTATAAGAGTAAGCAGTGGAAGCACTGGCCTGGCCCTCTTTCTGACACTCATCTGTTGTTTTACCTGTTCACTGCTCCATCCACCCCCTGTCAATTTCACGCATCTTCAGACTGTCCTCAACATGGCTCTCTTTCAGACCATTGTGACTCCTACTGTTACATATGAGCAACCTCTAGGGCTGTATGTACCCAAGAATAGGCCATTCTCCCTCGCTAACACTCAAAAGGTTCATCAACAATGAATTTGTCCCCGGCGTAGAGGGCAAAACCTTCGAAACTATCAACCCCCACGACGAAAAGCCCATCGTGGCCGTCCACGAGGCCACCGAAAAAGACGTTGACATTGCCGTTGAAGCCGCCCGCAAAGCCTTCAAAGGCGCATGGAAGGACGTCATCCCTTCAGAGCGTGGCCGTCTGCTAACTCGTCTTGCTGACCTTCTCGAACGCGATATGGATACTATCGCCGCCATCGAGGCCCTCGACAACGGCAAGGCGTTCCAATTTGCCAAGGGAGACGTCACTCTCTCTGCAAACTGCATTCGATACTATGGTGGTTGGGCCGATAAGATCGTGGGCCAAACGATCGATACAGACCCCGGCAGCCTGACGTACACCCGTCACGAGCCGGTTGGCGTCTGCGGTCAGATCATCCCATGGAATTTCCCGCTGCTCATGTGGGCGTGGAAGATCGGGCCTGCTATTTCCACCGGCAACACGGTTGTTCTCAAAACAGCCGAGCAAACGCCGCTTTCAGCTTTATATGTCGCCAAACTGGTCAAGGAGGCCGGCTTCCCACCAGGTGTGATCAACATCATCTCGGGATTCGGACGCGTGGCTGGCGCCGCCATCGCGGCCCATATGGATATCGACAAGGTGGCATTTACCGGCTCGACAGTGGTCGGTCGCCAGATTCTCCAGGTCGCAGCGAAGAGTAATCTGAAGAAAGTCACCCTCGAGCTGGGCGGCAAGTCCCCCAACATCGTCTTCCCCGACGCTGATCTGGACGACGCAATCAAGTACGTGAACCTGGGTATCTACTTCAACCACGGGCAATGCTGTGCCGCCGGCTCGCGTGTCCTCGTGCATGAATCCATCTACGAGAAATTCCTGGCGCTCTTCAAGCAGCGCGCGGAGGAGAACAAGGTCGGAGACCCGTTCCACCCGGAGACGTTCCAGGGTCCCCAGGTCTCTCAGGTCCAATATGACCGTATCATGGGATACATTGACGATGGTAAGAAGGCGGGTGCCACCGTTGTTACTGGTGGAGCGCGCCACGGCGAAAAGGGGTACTACATCCAGCCTACCATTTTCGCGGATGTCCACGAGGATATGAAGATCGTCAAAGAGGAGATCTTTGGGCCTGTTTGCACAGTGCAGAAATTTAGCTCCGAGGAGGAGGCTATTGAGATTGCTAACAATACGAACTACGGTGAGCCTACCATCTCATCTCTACCGTTCAATGCTGACTGATTGTAGGGCTGGCGGCGGCTGTTCACACTACCAATCTCAACACAGCCATCCGCGTATCCAACGCTATCAGAGCTGGGTATGTTCGGGCATCCACAGGCCTAGTGTACTTGCTAACCATTACAGAACTGTGTGGATCAACAACTACAACACCTTCCTAGCCCAAATGCCATTCGGCGGCTTCAAGGAATCGGGTTTGGGCCGGGAGTTGGGATCTTACGCTCTTGACAACTACACGCAGGTCAAGACTGTGCACGTTCGTATTCAGGGTGCTTAGTCGTAGCAGAGTATTGAATTAGTAATGGTTTTTATGATTTGTTTGGCATCTTTGTTTCCTTGGACTCGTCTGTCAGAAAACAATAGTGTAAATCGGTCAACGAGGATTATGCCTCACTATTATGCAAGCAGCCACTATCGTTGAATAGCAAAGACCGTAGGAGCCCAATTAAGCGTGTATGTCTTTTCAAAATTGAATAGACCACCCTCAATATGACAGTTCTCCGTGAATCTTAAATTCAGACCATGCGCAGCTCCAGACACGACTATACCCCGTATAGTGCTTCTGCCTTGCACAGTATCACAAATGTGGGGTCGTCTCGGACTAGAGATTCAATGCGTATTGATCTACAAATCAAGACCCCAGGCTAAAGCCACATTTGGAGAGGGCTGGGCTAGACTTCCCTTCCTTCTCCGGTGCCCCGGACCCTACCCAAAAAGGAAATTATATTCGTACTGATCACCGTACTCCGCTCGACCGGATAGGGGGCTATCATGGGAAGGCTTTGCTAAAAGCTTTTCATCAGGAGAAGCTGATATAAGGAGCCAATTCGTTCTTACCCCAGGTTTTGATCTATCCCCAGATTTCCCAACTTCTATCTCCTCTTGCCACATACCTTAAATCCTAGACAACTGTCAGACACAATGGACACTGAGATGGGCCTTAAGAACCATACGACGAAGCCTTCACCTCTAGAGGAGACAGCCATGCCTTCCCTGACGACAGTTCCTACATCCGTCACCCTATCCGCTGAGCAGTTCGAAAAGCTGTACCTCAGCCCCCTGATCCAGCGGCAGGGCATGCTCTCGAAACAGATGGGCAATCCTACCCCTTTGTAATTACCCAGCGCTTGGTGACAGTCTACATTGAACTGACTGATCAGGGCCCTCGGCGGATTTGTCATTACCACCACGCCTTTGTCCTGCTGCCTTATGGGATGGAGAGGCGCTACCGGAGGGGGTATTGCGTTCACGTAAGTGCCAACATCTGAAGGACGATATGATTCAATGCTGATATCTGTCTAGTGGTCCGATTATCTTCCTCGGGGGCGGACTGCTCGTCTTGACTAGTATTCTGGAGTTTATCCTCGGCAACACCTTTCCATGCGTTGTCTTCGGCACAATCGGTTCGTTGGGCATCTCGAAGAGACGACGCACTTAACTGAGAATAGCAGGAGCGTTCTGGTTCGCATTCGGCTGCACCATGACTCCCGCATTCAACGCCGCAGGTTTGTCTCGACTCCTCTCCGTACCTACTCTACTCTGCTAACAGTGTCTTCTCACCAGCCCCATACTCAACCTCCGCTACCGACACAGTAGCAGGCCTCCACAGCCCAGACTTCATGAACACATACGGTTCGCACCGTCCCCATCCCAACGGAATATATCCTAACAAGAACAGCCTTCCTCTTCATCTGGATGGGCGTCCTGATGCTCATCTTCCTGATCTGCGCGACCCGCACAAACGCCGTCTACGTTGTCATCTTCGCGACGCTCACTCTCGTCTTCGTCTTTCTATCCGCGGCGTACTGGCGTCTGGCTGTGGCGGATGCCCTCGTCGGTAATCGGCTGATTGTCGTATGTCTCTCCCTCCCCGTCATATGTATAACATGGCTAATGCAGGCTGTTGTGACAGGCAGCTGGTGCTTCCCTGTTCGTGGCGAGCATGCTGGGGTTCTATCTCCTCGTGGCACAGTTGTTTGATTCGGTTGGATTCCCTGTGCGCTTACCTGTCGGGGACTTGAGTTGTCTCTGGGAGCGCCGTGTGAAGTGAGTATGAGTACCCTGCTCTTTTATGTGCACCAGTGCTGAGTGTCGAAGTGATGGACAGGATCCTGAGTATTCGGCTGGTGATGGAGAGAAGTAGTGTATCTTGGTATCTTGTGAATTGCGCCGCCCAGTATGGTGTAAGTATTGGATGGTCGATGTGGAATCAGGTCAGATGGGGTATCCGCTGTCATAGTCATAACCTGGGAATGGATTGATGGGTTGCTTTCGCTGTAGAGATGCATTTGCTATAGCTTGAAAGAAATGGCTCGCAATACAGCCTTTATCTACCCCCGTGAGGCCTTGCGTTGTCCAACAATATCTCTTCTCCTTATTCTTCCCTGGAGTCATACCTGTACGGCTTCTATCTCATACCAGCTGACCCTCGCACGGTTTCTACGGGTATAACCAAGCAATGCGGCCAGCCTTCTCATCCATCTGTCGGTAGTCATCTCATCTTACTTCGATCTCTGTATTGCACTGTTCTACCAGTTCTGACCGTCTCATGAGTATTGATGTCCTGTCGCTCCTACTAACTTGCACACCTCATACCAGGAATTGTAATCGTACGGACAACGTTAGGCAGAACCTGTTCGATGGCTTAGGAGTCGAGGTGAATATATAATAAGCTTCTAGATGGAAATTAAACGATATGAAACGTCTAGACTCTGTTACTCCTTCATGCACTAACTTTGAATACATTAATCTGCCTTATTTACAGAGCAGAAGACGATGAATAGCACACGCAGTCAAATTAGAATTAGACTATAAATAGTTGCAGTAGCCAGTACACAGCAAGAGCCAATCCCCTTTCGATTCTGCATACCTGCTACCAGACCCAACTTCGTCAAGCGCTAACCATCTGAGGATTACAGGAGAGCAGCTCCTGCAATCAGACCGGCCACAGCACCCAGGCCGGCGTTCAGGCTGGACGCGCCGCCGGTGAATAGAGGGAATGAAGGGCTGGCGGTGGAGGAGCCCTCATTTCCGGGGCCAGAGGGCGAAGGAGTCCCGCTTGGAGTGGAGCTGGGAGAGGTGACGGTGGGCTGGGTGGGGATGACAGGGCGAGAGGTCGAGGTCGAGGTCGAGGTGGAAGTAGAGGTAGAGGTAGAAGTGGAAGTGGAAGTGGTTTCCTCAGTGATAGTAGGCGTTGCCGTCTCGGTGTGGGTGTTTGTCAGAGTATTGGTAACAGTGTTTGTCAAGGTGTTGGTGATGGTGTCGGTCAAGGTCCCAGTCAAGGTACCACCAGGCCCACCGCAGATCTCCCCAATGGGGCAGCAGCCATCGTCTGTGCAGTAGGTGCCTGGCTCGCAGCCGCCTTCGCCAATGGCGCAGCAGCTGTAGCTGACTGGAATGCAAGAGGACTTGCAAGTCTTATAGCCAGCGTGCGATTCACAGCTGGAAACCTGGCGGGCAATGAGACCGTTGTGGCTTGCCGCAAGAGCGACAGTGGCCAGAAGGGAAGCAGTGAGAAGCTTGTACATTGTAAGGTTGAAGAATATCTGATCAACGAGTGATTGACAGCGACTGAGCGAATGACTTGACTGACAGAGGTCGAGAGAATGGGAAGTGGGTAAACGAGCCCACCTTATATAGCACGGTGCCTGAACGCCTCGAACCTTAATGGCGTGGAGAGCAGCCAGGAATAGATCAGCCTCATGGGATACGAGGGACCAAGTCTGGCCATTGTGTAGTTATCACACCAAGCGGCATGACTCGTATCTGATCCCGAGATGTGGTTGGATGAATCCCACAACACTAAATCAACCAGCGAGGGGAATACGAGGCAGCCCGTCCTGCGGCGCCCGAGGCAAATTGCCCCAAAGCTTTAGTGACTTGTTATGGTCCTTTTATTGGATGGAAAGAGCGGAGAATTGAAGAAGGTTCGTGAATTGATGTGTGAAGAAACGTAAGGCCTCTACTCCGTTGTTGAGGTCGAAGAGAGGAGAAATGTATTTTGTGCACGGACTTTGCCCGATAATCTCTCCTTTAGGCAATCGTCACTTCATCCGTGAGTCCAAGTCTGTCTGCAAGAGATGGTCAAATATCGCTTCGAGCGAAAACTGTCTCTGTGGAGGCAGTGGACTTTGCGCTTCTGTTCCTCGGAAGTTGTCGAACCTGCTTGCTAAATGATCGGAGATGCCCCACTTTTTGCTGCTAAAATCAATCGCTGCAAGATGAAGCAATTCAGAGCATTTTGGAACCAAGGCCCAGGCCAACATTAGCATCCATTCAAATAATAGCTATTTGCGTGTGAAGTGCTCTTGGCGAATTATTCTTGCTGGCATTAGAGAACTACTATTCCTGCTACGCACCTCAGGATGAGCTTTCTTCACCCAATATGTCTTAAGACTGACGTGTAGTAATCGGTCCGTCAAGATATTGCGGCAGATGGCCAGCGATACCGAGTTGGAATAAACCCTTTGTGGTGAGCATGGGATCTGTTGCAGGTCCAGAATATCAATCCCCAGACTCCATCTCCCCTCGTACTCTCACCCATCTCAGATGTCCACCAGACTGAGTATTATCCTCGCCTGGAACACCTGTTACACTGACAAGTCTCCCGCTGGTTGTATTGAGTTCGAAGACGTGGTTGGCCAGTTCCAGGACAGGTGGCAGCGACATGGAGTTGTACGGCATAGGACTGTATTGAGGGCCTTGAATAAGCATGTGCCACTGTTCATTCCGGGGTTATACAAGGTGCCACTTATAAACCAGTTCTGATGTCCAGGACATTAGTGCTAATTAGAACTTGGGTTGTGCTCATAAGTGATGAATGCTCTTGTATAAGCTGCATAACTCACATAATGAAGCATCTAATGCAGATACGTTTATAGCAGGTCATGTCGTCATAACACTATTCGTTATATGTGGTTACACAGCATCACAAACATGAAGAGAACAAATTCTATAATATATTGATCATGGTATCGTGTCATATCCAACAAGAAATCTATATGCAAGTGTGTAGTAAACCCAATCCTAACCAACCAACTCCACGCAATGGATCATAAACTGAACAACTACGCAATCTCCGCATGGAAGGCCTGCTCCTCCTTGCGGGCCTGCGCACCAGGTCCCTCCTCCCACTCGGTGGCCGGAATCTCATACTTGCTGCTCTTCCACGGCGCCACATTGTTCACATACATCCAGTCGATCTCCTCGAGCGTACGGCCCTTGCCTTCGATGACGCAGAAGTAGACGACGAATGCGGCGAAGAGCAGACAGCCCGCGAAGACATAACCATAAGCGAAGTCGATGGCGCCGGTGATGAAGGGAGTGAAGAAGCTCAGGAGGAAGTTCCAGAGCCAGTTGGAGGCGGTGGCGAGGGCCATGCCCTTTGCGCGGTACTTGGAGGGGAAGAGCTCGGCGACGATGGCCCAGACCATGGGGCCCCAGGTCATTGCGAAGGCACTGTCAGTTGGTTAGCATGAGGAAATGAAGAAATGATGGAAGGGGAGGGGACAGGAACATACGCAATGAAGAAGCAGGCGAGAACGATCATGCCCTTGCCAACTTCGGGGGTGTTGGTGGGGTCGTTGACATCAAGCATAAAGTGGCCGATGGAGGCGAAGATCATGAACATGCAGAACATGAAGCCCGCGCCGAAGATGAGGGACTTGCGACGGCCAAAGTTCTCAACCACGTACAGACCGCCAAAGGTGGTGGTGAAGTTGACGGCGCCGAGGATGACGGAAGTGACGAAGCTGTTGGAGAGACCAGCTCCTTGGAAGATGGTTGTCCCGTAGTAGAAGAAGTAGTTGGCGCCGGTGAGCTGCTGCAGGCACTGCAGGAGCATGCCCAGAGCGACCCGGTACAGCATGCGCGGGCCGGTCAAGAACTCGTGCCACACCTGCACTCCCGACTCGGCGTCGAGCTGCTTCTGGATCTCATAGAGCTCCTGGACAATGACGCGGTGGTTCTCGGGCACACCGTACAGCTTGGCCATGGTGCGACGTGCGCTGTCGATCTTGCCGTGACGGAACTCGAAGCGAGGGGATTCAGGGAATAGGGCCATGCCGCCGCCCAAGATCAAGGCGAAGACGATGGTCAGACCCAGGGTGATGCGCCACTGGGCAGTGCCGTCCATGCTCTCGGTTCCCAGGTTGATCAGGTAGGCCAGGAAGATACCCAGGGTCACAAACAGCTGGTAGCAGCTGATCATGGCACCACGGACGTGACGCGGAGCACTCTCACCCTGGTACATGGGGACAAGCAGCGAGCAGCCACCGACACCCAGACCGGTGACCCAACGGCCGACGACCATCTGCCACCAGTGACCGGCGGGAGAGGTGATTTGAACAATGATACCGATGATCAGGACGATGTTCCACAGGGTGATAGACCACTTGCGGCCCAGCCGATCGGCGACGGGAGCCCCGACCAGCGCACCGATCAAGGTACCGATGGACAGCAGAGCGACGATGAGACCGGAGCGAACGTTGCTGAAGCTGTACTTGCCGTTGCTGTATTCACCATACCGTTGCAGGTAGTTGCTCATCTCCTGGAAACCGGAGATCTGACCAGTGTCATACCCGAACAGCAGACCGCCCATGGAGACGAAGAGCCCCATGATGGCGGACCGAAGGGTCAGACGGGGGATGGGGGTGTTGACTCCGAGATCGAGGGGCTTCTCAGCAGCCACCGAGTCGGAGCTGGAGTATTGGGGCTGGGGGGCGGGGGTGATGGATTCCCCATGGTGGGTTTCTGTCTCGACACCCATGTCTGTTTCTTTGTAATCAGAGATATTATAATCTAATGACCATAGGGGGACGAGGATAGTTGGAGGAAAGGGAGGAGATAAAAAGCCGGACGAGGAAGGAAAAGAGGAAACGATCAGAGGTGAGACAAGGGCTTATTTATAATTGTTTCACTTCACCCTGCCTGGGAGAGGGAAAAAAATCAGAGACGAGATCCACAGGTACATAATGCTACATAATCAGAGTGAACCAGGAACGAGGAGACAGAGTGTGGGGAGGACAGGCATCCCGCTGGAGATGACGATAGTCGGCACGGGGATAGGCACAGAAGCCGTCAGCATCGGGTCAGGATGATCCGTGATTATGATTGGAAGAGACGAGCCCAGGACAGGCAGAACTTCGGGGTCCACGGCACAGTGGGACATTTGGTTCGTCATCACGGCCACTGTTCATAGAAGATTCCATTGAACGCCACTGGTTCAGGGTCTTAGTAAGAAATGCCACGGCAGCGCCACGGCGGACGTGAACGGTTCGTCAAATGAGACGGACGCAATGACAGGGTCAACATTGCGATGATGTATGCCAATCATTATCATACAGAAGGTTTCTGTGTTTCGGCCGTCCACGACATGTAGTAATGATTGTCAGGCAATATGAGCCATCATTACTGATTCCGGGTATCCGCGCATATAGTAGTGAAACTAAGACACCCACACCCACATCTCCAGAATCTCGGCAAATTTCTACTCCGTACTCACTAGTCGCACTGCGCCCGGAAGAGCACGGAATCCCCAGCTGGAGACGCAACAGACAGTCAGTCCACCTGGAGAATGAGGGGTTGCCATTCCTCTTCAGTTCACCGGTGAGCGAGCTGCATAAGTGTACTGCGGAGTATCTGGAGTATCCTACGGAGGACGACTATCAAAATGATGTATTCACGGGGCGTCTACAAAGGCTATTCACCTCTGCCCAACAGGTTATTTACAAGCCAACACAGCAGAGAAATGACGCCGACCGAGACGGATCGGCCTCGGCGAAGACAGCAAGTCTGACACTAAAAAGCCAGAGAAACGAGACCGGCTGAGCCGAGAATCGTCAGTGGCGTTGGTAACTAATGCTGGTTCGCCCAACGGCGGCCACCAAGCTTTCAGGCACTCTCAGCAACGGGAAGAATGACTTTGTGGCTGTTGATCCGTTTAGTCTATGACGGATGTCTACTACTAGATATTTGAGTCAAGGAAACAGTAGAAAAGGGACAGTATATCGCTTGACTGATAGTATGATACTATCACCCTGGGGTACTGGACTGGTGTCTGCATCCAGAAGAATCTGCATTCGTCTATCTGTCCTGCTTGGGAAGATCCACTCGACCCATCCGGAAGAAGAATGGTATTAGGGTTAGGGCTTGGCATGTTCCGACAGGACTGCCAGGTTTACGTCATCGTCTGACCCATGGAAACTCCTCGCTTCCAGTCGAGAACTTTTCTCGATCATGTGATTCCACCTGACAACGATATCACCTGACTGCTGTACCGCATACTCATTGGCCACCGCCACACTTCGGCTCCGACCATCTCCATTGGTGGTATGGTGGTATGGTGGTATGTAGGTATTGTAGGTATCTACACATGCAAAGACTAAAGAGGGAAATAGAGTCTTGTCAGCAGGATATCTATTCTGTGGACTAGTTAGAGTAGGGCTGAACTTCTGAACCCTGAGTCTTGTCTTTCTACGCGCCCGCCATTGTTCTTGATGCCGACAGATTATTATATATAAACTTTCTGTCTCCCCCCGAAGACTGCTCCACAAATTGAGTTAGATGGAATATAATACATATCTATCCGTTTATGTGCTGGATTTCCCTCGACCGTACTCTCATTTAGATATGCTCCCGAGTCGGCCAACCGCGTGCTCGAAAGCAGTCGGCTGAACGGTATCAACGAGGCCATAGGACAGGTGACCGGCTGGGATCTGGCAGGAACAGGCGGGGTTGGGCGAACAAACAAAATCATCCTGAATAAAGAGTGAAGGGAAATGAAAGATTTGCTAGTGCAAAGGAAAAAAAGAAACTCCAAGGAACGAGAATATGATCTGGATACTCACAGCCAGGCAATAATCGAGCACTTTACCACTCTGGTCCATATCCTTTGAGAGCTGGGGAATAGGCTTGTTATCGGCAATAGCCTCCTCTGCAAACATGCCTACCGAGGCTCTCTCATCGTGCTGGGCAGTGGCGTCCACATTGGAAATCTTCCCGGGCAGACGGTACGGGTTGCCGACAAGAACAACCGATTTGACTGATTCAAGGGCCGAGGGACTCAGTTGGCGGAGGACCTTGAGTATCAGAGTTGCGCCTTGAGAATATCCAAATAGAGCGTACTTCTGGTGCGGACAGTGCCGGAGTCCGTGGGCGTTCGTATCGACCACAAACTTCTCACCACTGGTGGTGTTTTGGCTCGCTGCAGCCGGATACTCCACGGGCAGGCTGACACCGCCAGTCACATTGGCGAGGATGTTCTCGATCATGGGATAAAACGTGGTGGAAACGCCTTGCGGTTCGGCCATGCCACGAGCGTCGATCAATTCTGCTGAGGCTCAAGAATTGGCTTCAACACTCTGTTCTGCCCTTGCTAGTGGTCCGCTCGATAAGGACCTGTCAGCCATACCTACCTACCGCGTGGAGTAAAGGATTTCCAAAAGTCTCTCGAATTTGACCAATTAGATTTGGCTTTGCTGTCGTAGTTCAACCGCCGAGTTGCGTCCCATTCGCCAATTTTTACTGTATCTTACCGGTTTTGCATTCTTGGTATATATGCTAGTATTGAATAGCAGATGAGAAGGATCAGACCTTCATCCCTGTGTTCGTATCTATGTTTTCACCATACAATAACAACTCGCGCGGATTATCTGACAAGACCTATTATTCTTGCTGTAACACTAACACATCAGCGTAACTGTGGACCAAGCGTTGGATGCTGTGCCTGGGCTTCATAGAAGCTAGACGGAACGAGCGTCTCACTTTTGCGATCCCTACCACGCTGGCGGCGGCCGTTATCTGGAGCACAGCAGCAGCATGTGGTAAAAAGCCAGGAGATACAGGCAGCGATAGCGAAAACGGCGCTAATCGGGAGTGCCAGAAACCACCTACTAGGGATGACCCCGAAATCTATGGAGAACGTAGAAACAACAAGCATGAGTGTCGCAGCGCATACCGTAATGCAGACGGCAACAGTGGCGACGCATGCCACAAGGAATGTGGCACAGGAGACAACAAGGCTGCGAGTTGCAAAGATGCCGAAAACTAACTCGGTACTAAGTGCCATAACGGCAATAACAGAGAAAACTTCGGCCAAGAGGGTCAAGAGACTAAATTTGTGAATCATGTCCGTAAAGCGCTCTGGTAGGGCTATGTGACGGTCCTTTGCGTTGATCCAATCTTCAACGTTGCGTTTGGCCTCATTCAGTGATGCCTCCGCCCAGTTGAGTCTAGGTTCTGAGCACGCCCGGGAACCATTTTGAGGGGTACGGCAAAAGCCCCATAGGCTCACATTGTACACGGCACGGACACCGATGTCAGCCGCATTAAATCTGATTGTTCTCTTATTGCGACGAGGGCAGGTATTGTCGATTTCGTTGAACAAGCCGTGTGTTTTGAGGACGGTCGGTTTTAGTCTGCAAAAGCCAGCTGGATCTGTATGGCTAGAGGAAGAAAAGAAGTGGTTGCCGGTTGCCTGGACCTGGAAGAGGTAGATGTCTTGGCGTGCAACACCAGCTGCATTGGCACCAAGCATAGCGATAAGGGCGCCTAGAGTTAGGGCCAATGATATAGCCACACAAACAATGCGACTAGAATCAGCCATAGCAGGAATAGGCTCTCTGGCTGTTCAAGAACAATTTATAATATAAGGAACAAGGATTCATAAGAGCCAAACTTGGGAAAGAAATCCAGAATGCCAAACTGCGTCTACGTGGTAAAGGCCAGAGTGTTCTCAACCATTACGCCAAAATATATAAACTAAGCGGGGAATCATAGACCCTCAAGGCGCCGTGATTCTATTGAAGGATATCGCCACCACTCATCAGAGAAGCCATCCTACTATTTTTTTGTGCAGTCTGTTTACGTCTTTGTTGTTCATAATACTTCGATTCCACTAGGGGCTGTGGTACAGAATCCGAATGTAAAGCAACATGATATTGACAACCTCTACTTCTATAACCACTCCTTTTTATCAGAGCCGAGAGGTTTGGGCATGATGTCCCAGCCAACCTCAAGCCCTTGTACGGAAGCAGAATGCCGCACCGCAATTAGTTCACCCAAGCCAGTCTCTCGTTTCTCAAGAAACTCCTGTGGCACGTCCTTGGTACATGTATAGGTCTTTCGTCTGGAAGCCAGACGCTCCCTCCCACTGCCCTAGTGATCTAAAATATTTCATCACGCCAGCAAGGGAGACATCAGCTTCCCAGGAGCCACACTCGGTTGCTTGTTTATACAGCGCAGCCATAATACACGCAGCGAGGAAATAGCCTCCGGCGTGATCAAGAGCCTGGCATGGCGTTGGACGTGCTTCTTCACCAGCGCCAAAGTGCTCTGCCTGAAAAGCAAGACTACCACCCAATCTAACCTTCATCGGCTGATATGTATATCCACAGCGTAATGAAAATAGCCAACTACGTCCCAGATTTCTGAATCTGGCGTAGCGAAATAATATATTCTCATATACGGTAGGCTATAACAATGATCGTTGCATTTGATCCGGCTTCTTTATGTCTGCCCTGTCTGATGCAACAGCTGCCAGTGCTACTGGGGCATTGGACACTGATTGCTAAGTTCTGAACTATAAGTGAGAGTGTGTCCTGGTATGAGGCAATCAGTCTAGGAATGGTATTAAGGTTGCAAATCATATTTCCCTTCTGCATGCATGCAATGACACCAGGCTGTTTGACTGCTAAAACAAGATACACTCAGTCTGAATCAGAGGCATATCAAGATGATACAGATCCGCCGTAAACAGCGCCGTCATCCTCGCGGTCACATTAAACCAAAAGTCGCTCGTAAACCAATACCCATTCTGACAGCCCCCGCTCCCACCCGCCGGAGGAACCAGCGTGACATTCCCATCGTCACCAACCACCATATCTGCATCGACATTAAACACATTGACGACCGTCGCTCTGGCCACCAGCCCAGACGACAAATCAAGCAGCCCCTCAAACAGATTCACCGTCACGCCCACCTCCGCCCCAACGAACGGATCCAGCTGCATATCAGCCGCGGTATCCAGCCTCGACGTGGTCGTCGCAGTCGGCGCGACACCACTCGCCGAGCTATCCGTCATATTGAGCAGATCGAGATGGAACAGCCCGTTCGTCGCCATGGTCATGTTACTGCTGACCTCAGCGGTGCCGTTCATGCCCAAGTCCACGCCGACGTTGAGATCAAGCATCGGCCCCACGGTCAGGATCCCGGGGATGGAGAAGCCGGCGGCCGCGACGGGGCTCCATCTGTAGGTGTACACGTTGCGCAGGAAGGAGCCTGCGGCTGAGACGGAGAGGCTGAGCGTCGAGTCGAGCGCGACGGCGATGTCGAGGCCGAGGGTGGTGGCGGTTTTGGTCTCGATGTTGTACGCGATGATGCCGTCAATAGTGACTGCTGCGTCGAGAGTGGCTTCGTCGGCGTGGATGGTTAGGCTATTGGTGCGAATGAGGTCGCCTGACCAGGCGAGGTCCACGCTGGCGACCAGCTCGCGCTTGTGTTGGGATGGAACGGGGTGTCCGAAGGCGATGGTGACGGCTTTGGCTTGCTCCTGGAGATTGGTCTTGCTTGTTGACGCGGTGATGGTTAGGGTTGAGGCATCGAAGATGAGAGACTTTGCGTGGTAGATTCCGCGCTCAGCTTCTGCGTCGCAGTTGCCCAGGTGGTTGGTGACAAGGAGGAGGTCTGCGCGACGCCAGGACGAGTATGCTTGGTTGAAGGTGGTGCTCGAATTGAACGCCACCGTCACGCTTTCAGCGGAACAGGCAACACTTGACAGGTCCTTGACGTCTTCAAGGACGATGGAGGGGAGGTGCAAGTCAGCTTGAACGAGAGCGCCAATGGAGCTTGAGTTGATGGCTTGATAGTAGAGGGAGATGGCCGATGCAGGCTCAATGCTGGCTGCCGTGGTATCTCTGCGTAGAACGGTAGGATACAGGCTAGCCGACAGTGGATGGGCCGAAGCAATTACGGACAGACATGCTGCTGCGGCAGGAAATCGAGCCATTATGATAGGCAAGGATGCAATGCAGGACTTTCCGAGGCGGGGTGAACTCTGGAGTGCTGCATTGACAGGACCGACGACGGCCTTTATATCCTTCTCAACGAGCAGCAAAATCACCGAGATGGCGGGACACCGAGGAAGGACGCTACAGGCACATATTGCACCATGTGCCTGTTACACTGCTGTGATATTGGTGCAACATGTACAGGCACCAGCCAAGTGTTCCTGCTCGCGGCATTAGTTAAAGATGTCGAGCCTACGTTAGTAACCGTGCCTGATAACGCCACCAAGTTTCGTCTGCACAAGGTCAAGCTACAGAAGAACATGCTGATGGAGTTCTGCATAGTGAGCGATATCAAATAATCAGCTTACTGACATGTGACAGGGGATACTAACGCGACTATATCCGTCTAACGGCCGCTGGCAGTCAAATCCACCAATAAATCTCATTTGCTTTGCTTATCCGGCTGTCGGAAGGCGGCCCCAGGTTCCACAGTCAAAGGACATGTGCTTCAACGGCTGGTCTATTGGGTCCCAGACGGGTTCTGCAAGGCAATATAAACGTGCATTAGCGCGTACTGGATCCGTTCCTCGATCCTTCTGACGAGACTGTACTACAATCTATCAGGTATTAATCTGGAACACGTGCTGGAGAGGTTGGCCCATGACTGTCACTTTGTATCTCAATCCATGTGTCGCTGCACCAGGACGGTTCAAGGAATGCTAAGGTGCAATGTCACTAGTCTATTATAGTACTGTCCTCTATACATTCTACGTATATACAATTAGACAAATATCCAAGTGCTGTAGACAGCCCCTAGACAAACGCAGCGAAAGGCGAGGTGGCAGCATCAGACTCCTCCCACCCAATACACTTCCAGCAACTCAACAACCCCTGAGGATCATACTTGTTCTTCACGCTGACCAACCGGTCGTAGTTTTCGCCCCACCACGCCTCGCGCCAGTGGATCGTAAACGGGTTCGCCTCGTTGCTATACGCCCCGCTGCCCGGGGTGATCCCCTCAATAACAGCAGTCATGTTCTGCAGCCCCGCGATCTTCTGCTTCCTGGTCGGCAACGTGCTGTTCCACGCCCACGCCGTCCCAGAACCCAGCTCCCAGACGGCCTGCCGCCACGCGGGAGCCGCACTCGTCGACCCCTCGGTGTAGTTGTACAGCACCGGTCCCACGACGGGGATGTACGGCGTCTGGCCCATGGACTGCAGAAGCGCGAAGAAGCCCATCAGGTTGGCGCGGCCCCCAGCCGTCTCAAAGACAGAGCGCGGGATCAGCCGGCTACCGGGGAAACGGGTGACGCCGACGGCGACGGAGCTGGTTGTCACGAACTTCTCGTAGAAGGGGTACCACGAGGAGTACTCTTCGATAGAGGCGGAGCCCCCGTTGGCCTCGGCGTAGGCGATGACCTCGGCCAGGGAGGCCTTGGCTTGCTCGACAGTAAGCAAAGGAGAGACGTTGACGAGGGAGTTGCCGGTGATGTGGCCGCCCCAGCCTTCCTGGGCCCATTTGAGGGTATTATTGACGACGATGTCCATGAAGGGGAGCATATTGGTGGAGGTGGTGGGGAAGTTGATGTTGGCCGCGACGAAGCGCATGGCAGGCTCGACACGGTGGGTGCTTTCGAGTACGACGCCAAAGGTTCCGCCGCCGCCGCCGCGGAGGGCCCAGAAGAGATCGGCATTCTGGTACTCATTCGCAGTGCGGTAGACGCCGTCGGGCGTGACGACCTTGAATTCCAGGACGCGGTCGACCCCAAGCCCGTACACGGGACTGAGGACGGAGTGGCCGCCGTTCAGGACCCAGCCGCCCGAGACCCCGACGGTGGACGAGTAGCCGCCCAGGATGGTGACGTTGTGCTGCTGCGCAAAGGCGTACGCCTCGTCGAAGTTGACTCCGGCGCCGACGGTGATGGCGCTGTACTTGGGGCCGGTCTTATTGCTGCCACGGGGAACAAAAGCAGGGTCGTAGCGGATGGACCTCAGGTTGCGAGTCCACAGAGACAGCGTGCCACGGCCACTGCTGCGGGTGAGATAGTCATGGCCGCTGTTCTTGATGACCAGCCGCTGGCCGGAGCAGTTCGAGTACTGGAACGACTCGATCACGTCCTTGGCGCTCTGCACCTCGAGGTAATACGAGGGCATGTTACCCTGCTGGCAGGTGGCATTCGCGAACGCCAGGGGATCAGTGGGATCGCTACTGTCGAGCAGGCACTGATTGCTGGGGTCCGACGACCACATCTCATCCTGGTTGTTCATGTAGCCATTGGGAGAGTTGGTTCGCAGCCACGGATCGCTGTACTTGGCCTGAATGGCAGCGCAGGCAGCACTGTCGCGAGCCACTGGGGTGCCATTGTAGTTGGAGAAGCAGGGCAGGGAGAAGGGAGTAAGAGGCTGCACGCGTCCTCCAACTGTCGCATTGAAGTGATTCAAGCTGCAAGCCGAGCAATTGTCCTTCCCTGCGACCACAGTCGCGCCCAGCAGAGCCAAGAAGGTGAGCCCGGATAATTTCAGACTGGAGGCCATGACGATCCTTCCTGCCGATACGAGCCACACGTGGAATGACAGGGGGATGAAGGAAGATAAATGAAGTTGCCCCCCTGGTGGAAATGAACCGGGGTGGGCTGATGAATCGCGTACGCATTTCACCGAACCAGGACCGAGATCTCATAGAGGATTTCGTGCATGAACGGGCCCTCAAGGGGCCAAAAGTAAGACCTCAGCAATGAGGATGCAGCACACTCAATAGTCTTGATCATCCTTATCCCCACTCTCAATTTCCCGGATTCGGAACTCAGCCGACAAGCTGTGATTGGTGCGATTTTCGATTACCTCAGCCCTAACATCCCTGCTTAGCTGTACGCAAGCTTTAACGCCTTGCCTAGTCCGGGCAAGGATTGTCCTGCAGTGAAACATTGGCAGCCAACCACAGTCGGAGTCGTGACATCAGGATCCATGCTAACTCCCAGAAGGGAAAGTTCGGCGGAAATAAACTGCTGGAGACGAGAACCACTAGGCATTGGCAGCCATGGCCTGAGACTTCCTATATTGCTAGGTCTCTCCCGTTGGTCGGGCTCAGGCTGGGCAACACGAGGGAAAAGCTTCTTTTCTTCAGTCTCTTCATCGGCTGTACTGAAGAAAAGATGTAACGTTGCAACAGCAAAACAATATCATGGCCTGATCTACTCTCTTTTCTGATTCCTCCGATCTATGTTCTCTCCTTCATCGCCAGAATGGCGTACGAGCAGAATACCTACTGGAAAGATGTCCTCACGATTGTGCCGATCGTCGGGGCCAGTGTGGCCACCGTCACGTATCTGTTGCGTCTGTACTCCAGACGCCTGACCGCCGCGGGGTTTTTCCTTGAAGACATCTTAATGGGCATTGGGCTGATCCTCTCCTACTGCGCTACGGCTTTTGTAGTGGAGAGTGAGTGCGTTTTACCTAGTACCTGAGTCAGAAGCTGACCGCTGTAGCTGCTTTCAATGGTGTTGGTGTGCCTCTCAAGAGCCTGCCGCATGATGAGCGGTATCGCATTCAATTTGTATGTCCTGGCCCGACCCCACCCAGTCAGACCTTTGACGAAGGATGGAAGCTGACTCGCGAAGGGATCCTGGATGATACAGAAGTTCTGGGCCCCGTCCATGGCCTTTGTCAAGATCTCCATCGTCGTCTTCCTCAAGCGTCTCCTTGGCGCCGTCCGAGTATATGCCATCATCTCCAATTGTCTGATCGCCTTCATTGCCATATGGGCCCTTACCGCCGTCCTGGTCAACACGTTCCAGTGTACGCCGGTGCAATACTACTATGACAAGACGTTGAAAGGACACTGCATGAAGGGGCAGGTGCAGTTCTTCCAGACTATGGGATCGATTGCCTTGATCGAGGATGTCATCATCCTCTGTCTACCGATTCCCATTGTATGGAGACTGCAGATTACCTTTCGGCAGAAGATCGCCTTGACGGTGATCTTTTCTCTCGGTGGATTGTACGTCCCTTTATGAACTGTTCGCCTAAGACTCAACTGACCATCACAGGGTCTGCATCTTCAGTCTCATGCGCCTGATCGAGTTCCGCCACTTCGTCGTCACAGATCTGGCCTGTACGTTTCTTTCTCCCCCGTCTGCAAAAATGCCATTAACCCTCCCCAGCCTCAAGCGCCAAAGAATCCATCTGGACCTGCCTCGAACTCGATGTCGCCATCATCTGCGGCTGCCTTCCGCTCCTCAAACCCCTCGTCCAGGGCTTCCTCGGCAAGGTCAAAAGCGGCGTCTCCAAGGGCTACTCGCAGCCCTCGGCCGGGTCGAAACTCCCCTTTCCCGCCTCACGCACACATAACGATGGGTTTCAGCAGATCGATGACCCGAATGGGACGCAGGCGTCGTCGGCGTCCAAGACTCTTAATGTGGGCGCTACGCCGAGCCGGAATAGCTCTGACTTGGAGTTGCAGGCTATTATGGTGCGTACCAGTATCCGGCAGGATGTGGACGGGCGATCGGATGTCGGGAGTACGGGTCCAATGTTGAATCGGGATAGGAGAGAGTAATACTTGCACTTAATCATCTGTACATATACATCTTCTATGAAAATTATATCCGTTGACACGCCGTAGCTGGGGTTGGGAGTGCTAAGCATGCTTCGATAGGTGATGTCTCAACTACATATGTCCTTTGAGGATATGTCTCCAGAAAGGTTAGGCCGACAGCGACTGGACATGCGCGGTCTGTATCCGAATACAAAGAAAGGAATTAGTCTATAATGCGTCTATTGTACAAACTATGTCGATTACAGCCGCACAACCATTGTGGAACATCAGAGGTGGGAGGCTATCACGGCGCAGAGGTCACGGTCGTCTTCACCAGCCCACTCTCACCAGCAGTATCAAAGTCCAAACTAGCACTACTGTGACTCAAACTATCGCTCCTCGGCGTGTCATCCACCTCATTCGTCACATGGAACTGGGTATGCGCCCAGATCTCCAACGGCTGCTCGCGAACGATATGCTCCCCCGACTCAGATCGGTCGATGGTCGAGCGCACTCCCGACTTGTCCCCCCGGAACCGCGAGAGATGGATCGTCGAGCTGTCCAAGCGACTGGTATACTTGTTCTGACTCCGATTATAGGACGAGTGCTGCAGGAAGGACTTCCAGTTGAAGAGGCGGCGGAGGAGGGTCCAGGTCTGCGGGATGTTGGAGACGATGACGGCGGTGGCGGCCTCACGGACGTACCATTGCAGCCATTTGATGCCGTAGGGCTGGGAGATGGAGTAGTACTTTGAGAGGATGGAGCAGAGGATGACGAATACACCGAGGGAGAAGACGGCGCAGAGGGTGAGTTTCTTCGAGAGGGAGAGTTTGGCGCGGATGAGCAGCGGCAGGGGGATGGCCATGATGAGCACGTCGGTGGTGACGTTGAAGACAAGGGTGGTGATGACGTGGTTGGTATAGACGGAGCATTGCACGCTCTTGGGCGGGACGGACCAGTATGCTGAGAACGGGCGGCACCAGACGGCGAAGAAGAGGATCTCGATGAGGAGGAAGCTGAAGGCGCAGATGCCGCCGATGACTTTGACGATGCGGTGTTGCCAGAGGCCGGAACTGCAGGGACAGGTTGTTAGAGGCGAAGAAATGTTGAGAGCTGTTGGGAGGCTCACGTCATGGTCGAGTATAGTAACAGCAGACAGCATTTGCATCCCCAGACCACCACGAGCCAAAACTGCTCGACCGCCACGACCATCTTACTGCCTTTGATGCGGTCTGGGATTGTCGATTTATCAAGCGTCTCGAACTCACCCGGGGGGATTCCATTGGTGCCGTACTTGTCGACTTGGACCAGGAAAACGGTAAGCAATATGTAGAATATCTAAGAGGGAGTTAGCATTCATTCAGAGCCTCAGTGAAATTGCAGAGCAAGAACGTACTACAACCACCGCCATGACCAGATCCTCCACCTGGAGGTTGCGCGGACCACCCGTCTGCAGAATGCGAGACACATAGCGCAGCGTTGCTGTTCGATGTCGGTTAGATTGTGAGTTCTAGAGTGGACAGGAGGATTAATATACTGATGAGCAGCACCACGGTCAACCACACCCATTCCTCCGACGTCTGAATCATGGTGATAGCGCCCTTTTACAGGGATGATGCTGGCGCAAGTAATAGTAGCCTAGGTGTCATGGAGGATATAAGAGATTTTGAAGACAGAACTGCAGGGTCAGCCACCTTTTCCTGCGTCGTCCATTTTCTCTTGCAGTGATGAATAGTAGGGACCCTCGCAGACTTGTCAGTTGATTTCTCAGGAACCGGACGCCACCAGGCGGGGCCTGCCAGATATAAGTTACGTGACGACAAAGTTTGGGAGCAATCGGCCGTCACTCGGCCTTTCACGGAGAGCCAGGAACACCCAATATACTCGAAACCAGGGAGACAGCCTCAGATATCCCCGTGCACTGGACCAGCAGCAGCCTCGATCCTTCGCATACTATTCGCCACACCCCTGTTCAACCGGCGGTTTGGTTCATGCATATGCCATATTATCGCACGTGGCTGTTGCCATTTCTGGATCGCTCTCTGAGGTGTTGGCGATGGATAAGGCGAGGCCGTCTGATTGGCCGAGGTTTTAATTTGACCCTTCTTTTGGGAAAGTTTATTTGTGAAAATTCTTCCTGGTGTCTCCAGCATGTGTTCCTTAATTCTTCAAGAAATGATACTCTTCGAACCGAGATCACAGACCTACCTGAGGAACGGCGGCATATCTCGATTCTGGACATTCGGCATTAAGAACTGACATATAGATGCTGCCTTCCCTGTGTATGCGGGGCCTAGTGCTCCTGATGCCTGGGGACTATCAGTGACAGGACCAATTTTTAGACTTGGTCACTGGGCCAGACGTGTCCTTGGTCCAGTTAAACTTTGCAAAGTGAGACATTGTATTCCCTGGATCATATGAGATTCTCGGGCCCGAGCCTTCATTCGCCTGTCTTCTCATCACGGTTCTCAAACAAAGTTTAATGACCTTAGTAACCAATTAGACACAAGATTGCCTGAGATTCATCTCAGGCGTCTCCGCTAGTGTCTAACATATTGAAATATGGCCCTGCTCTGCTCCTGGTAATGGAGTTGTCTTGTTTGTTAGGCAAATTCTCATTATACCCTTCTCTCTAGTGTGAGTATCCTGAGAATATTGTCACTTGCATTCTTTTTTGTGCATTCTCGAAGACATTCGGGTCTCAGGCTTGGCGGGTCCCAGGCTGTGATCCATGGATCCAGATGCCGACATCGCTCATCTGGCCGTTGGCTCTGGAAATTATGATGGACATATATTGCGAAGCAGTCCTCGAGATCAAACCATAGGTATTAGGTAGCAGACGTATAACTGGCAGATGCAGTTGTGAGGAATGAACTTTATACATTCCCCTACACTGAACATAGATTTCAGCTGTTCAAGGTTCTTACTGAATAGGACGCTTTTTCCTACCCTTCCACTATTGATTATTGTCCTCTGGGAGACTATAGTATATTCTTATGCCGTGCTTGCCATGGCTAAAAATAGTAAGCCAGTCTACCTATTAACTCTATGCTTAATGGGCCAGGAGACTTCATTTGTAGATAGTCCTGCCGATATTGGTATGGAAAAGCAATGTATGTCTGCGCACGTTATACAAGCTTACATTTAAGAAATCCATGACTAAAAGTAGCTGAAGCAATACAATCTAAATTCTTTAAGGATTATTACTTGTCCAAGAATAATTCTATGGTCCGCTTGCATTGAATCTAGAGGTTTTATGCATAATACAGATGCGTCCTTTCATAGAGAAGTACAAGGAATACTTCATAGGCGAATCTCCTTAATACATGAGTTAAGTAAGCTATGCAATTAGAGATAAGGTTTAGTAGCTCTGTGTTCATTAGTGCTATAAACTTTGTTTGTTTACACCCTCCATCTCACTATCAGGGAAGGGCTTAAAAATAAGACGGTCTATATCCACCTTAAAACTTGACAGAGCTGTCTAGACAGTTGAAATAATGCTATAACCCAGCTGACCAGAATCTGATACATATCATTCAGGACTTCTTCCTGTCGACTGGGTAGTCAACTGCCTCATACATGGCAAGCCTCCTTAACGATCGAGGACAAAGCTATCGACTCAGAGCCAGATGTGGGAGAAGTCCCTGTATACATAGATATGCTGATTGGTAAAGTAGATGTTAAGGAGATCACATTAAATAAAATGAACGGATATTTAGATTGGAACCGTGGGCGCCTCGGATTCCCTCTTAGTTGCCTTCCTTGCGTCGATTCCCGTTCGTACTGGGCCAGCCCAATAAAATGACATCAACAGAGTCAGACACCGAAGCCTGAACACTTCGGCGTCTAAATACCCTTGGTGTCTAAACGCTTTAGTGTCCGAACTCTCCTGGTGTCTGGACGCTTTAATGTCTGAACCCCCTGTATCTGAACACTCCGAAGAGGATTGATCTTATGGAGTTGTTTAACTTATATTTACATCTCAGTCAACATGAATCGTTAATACGTTGCATATCCTCCTTTGTGGGGTAGTGGGGGAGATCTAAAAACCCTGGCTATGCGACATATCTGGGGGCGTCAATCTGTGGCTGGCTGAATCTCGGGTCCGGTCCTAATACTATTGCAGCACACGAGGATTCGCTCATCATAGAAGCTATCACATAAAGTGTAGAGGTCTCTGCTCCCTCACTCATCGTCTCAGAAAAGGTAAAGATGTACCAGAGTAAACGGCAGGCCCTTTGGAAACATCTTCGTCGCAAACTTTGACACGTAACCGCTTCCCTGTCAAATCTCCATGTCCATCAATGCCACCGTTTTAAGGCTGTCGCCGACAGTGTACTGAAAGACTTAGTTCAGGAAGAGCGGGGCACAAATTCTGGCCCTTTCAAATTGATGCTCCAGAGGAAAAGGGTAATTGGCTGCTAACCACGGCTGTGTTATTTAAACTCTCGTATTCGACGCATGCTAGGGAGCATGAGAGATCCGATCTGCGTCCCCACCGTCAGGTATAAGAAGCACCACAAACCCACGTCCGCGAGCTTAGGACTTTGACATTCCCCTATTCTCAAAAATGACGATCCATCTTCCTCTGGAAATCCACACCCAGATCTTCAATTATTTGCTTGATGATCTGTATGATTCCGAGCGTCCTCAAGAGGCATTTAAGCTTCGCTTGATTTCCAAGTCAATACGAGGTATTCTTGACCCGGTCTTGTATAGAAAGATTAAGTCACCATCAGACAATGGAGTGCATATTCTTTGCCGCACGATAATACCACGGCCTCAACTTGCGGCTCGGGTTGAGGAGATTCACCTGGAAGAAGACGAAGGGTCGGCAACTGACGAGGAGGAGGAGGAGGATGAAGAGGAGGTAGAGAATACGGATGCAGATTCCGACTCTGGTTCAGATTCGAGTGAATATTCAGATTCAAAAGTTCAACAAGCGCGTAAGACAGAAGAATCAAAGCTCCTAGCCGGAGCAGCAGACCACCTCAAAGGCAAATTCACTTCTGATCCTTCTCACTCTCTCGCCTGTAAGACAAACGACCTTTCCTGGCTCGCGCGATCAACCCGGAAAACCAGACAGTGGCTTCTGCTCTTCCAGCTCTCCAACCTCAAGTCTCTCACATTAAAAACCCACTCCGACACATTCACCAACATGGCCTTATTTCTTCGTCTTCCCCGCCTGGAGGAGCTAGACTTTGCCGTGCTAGCCCCCGGCCCTGACGGCCCATCATGCCACAACTACGCTCCACCCGAGGAGATCCTAGAGAGCATAATCCGCCATACTGATCAGCTGAAATCTCTCAAGTTCGAAGACATGAGTGGAACAGTCTTCTTCCCTGTCGAGCATGACGCGCCTAAACTAAAGCGGATTCTTGAGCAGCACGCCGGGGACACACTTACACACCTCTCCATCTGCCTCTGCAACAATGATGAGAAGGACTGGCGACAGGAGCAGGAGTTCAGCGACATTAGGGGACATTTTGGATCCATGAAGAAGTTCAGGAGATTGAAAGGGCTCGTAATGCAGCTGGAGGTCTTGCTGGGTAAACCCAACGAGAATGGTGGGCTGACACTCAAGAGCGTACTACCCTCACAATTGGAGTATTTCACTGGTTTAAATCTTCCCGATTACCATGGAGCGGAGGATTCGGATAGAATCTGGAATGAAGAGCAATATATACCGCAATTTGAGGATCTGGCTGAAGCCGTTATGCGAGACGGTCGAGCATTTCCCTCATTGGAATCTGTCAAGATGCATCTAGACCGGAAGGATTACTTTAGTTCTCATGGGGAGTGTCTTATGAAAGGGCAGTATAATGATGGAGTGCTGGGTGACTCGCGGATCTACTTTGGTTTCGTGCGCGGTCCGTACGCTTATGACGGGCCAGAACGGGATTAAGTTACTGAAACTGGAAAGAGGTTTAGATTTGGAACCTTGCATAGACTACAGTACCTCGTCTGGGATAAACAGGCGGGGCTTCCTAGCCTCTTGAACAAGTCCACTTACAGCAAGGGGGTTCCGTTGTAGATTAACACCGATTCTCATCACCGAGGAAAGGTCAGCTGTGCACATAGCAAAGTCAAGCAGAGTGCCTCAAAAGAATGCGGAAAGGAACAGAGTGCTGAAGGACCAGAAGTGCTCAGGAACCGAATGTGTTGCACAGTGACTGAATCTTATGGCAGAGGTTGGGAACAGATATGAATGAGGCATCCCGCCTCTGTAAGAGAGTACTTCTAAGTTAATTAGCAATAAAAACAACTATCATTCATCTCGACAGATGTTATCGCGGATATAGTCAGAAATTCTGCTTAGAAACATAAAGGGAGTAGTTTTATTGGGGTTGCCTCACAAGAGTCAGTTGCTTGCCTCTGCAGGTAGCCCGTTATCTCACGCATTCAAGTCTCAATTTTGTCCATCCCGCCTTCCCTCTGTATATAGACCCATTGCCTCCCTATCTGGCGCTACAGTCTGAGACCGCAGCGACAGGTGACCCGTTACGGCCAAACTACACTTTTCTTGCCCCTCTTGACTGCGTGAGGTCACCGGTAAAAGGCGCAAATAGAAGCATGCAGGGATGACATGTGCCACAATTAGCTCCAATAGCGATAGTGTATGGCAAGATTGTTTGCAATCTCAATAGATTGAGACGGAACACTCCGATGCAACTTGAAGCAATAGATGTGGGAGCTTATTTGTCAAGCTGAAATCTTGGCGCATTAGTTCCAATTGCGACATTTTAGGATTGTATGCTTCCAACCCCTCTTCCGTGCGGCCTGGATGTAACGTGGCAGTTATAAATGATCGCCTGTCTCGAATCCTGATCTACGCGTATGAAGTTCGTTCTGCCCTCATCTTACACATCGGCTCAGGATGAGTTCTAATACGATGGATGACAGGGATGCCTCGGCCGTCGACAAAGGTATAGAAGCAGAAGAGCCGTACAAGGGTGGATTTGAGAAACAAGCACAATATGCTGCTCAAGAAACTGAGAGCGCAGAATCACCGGGCTCTCAACCGGACAAAGCTGAATATGTCAAGGGACATCCCGTCATTCGAAATGGTCAGCATGCACCTTCACAGCTGCTATTCAATCCACTAACCCCGGCAGGCGCTGATGTATCGAGGTTCATTGTCTCTGTGAGAGATGACGGCGATCCTGCACTGACTTTTAGATCGATCGTCCTGGGATCCGCGTTCACTGCGCTTTCGAGCGTGATCACGATGCTTTATACCTTTAAGCCCACGCAGATGCAAGTGTCGGCAATCTTCATGCAACGTAGGTCAATCTCCCCAGCCAGCTCCGTCCAGTGTTCATAACAGCTGCTCTAGTTCTGGTGTATGTGGTTGGCCAGGCGTGGTCTCTGTTTACTCCGCGCCCAGACAGATTCCGGTGGAAATGGCTGCGACGCACACTCGAATTCCTTAACTTCGGACAACCTTTCGGTATTAAAGAACATGTCGTTGCGTCTCTCATTGCTTCGTCGGGTAACAATGGGCTTTCCGGAGTGGAAGTGTACGCGGTCGAGCGTCTGTTCTACAATATCAGCGTGTCGGCTACGACCGCAGTGCTGGGAACCTTCTCCATCTCACTTTGTGGCTTTGTGCTCGCTGGTATCCTTCGACCGCTGATTGTCTACCCAGCGGAAATGGTCTACTGGTCCACGCTTCCACAGGTGGTGCTGTTTCAGAATCTCCATTTCGACCAACGTGCCAACCGGGGCCGGTTGATCAAATTTGGATGGGCTCTCGGACTTGCCGCCGTCTGGGAGATCTTTCCTGCGTATATTATAACCTGGTTCGGCGGTTTCTCGATCTTCTGCCTGGCCTCAATGGACGCTCCTCAGCATATTCGGAAGGTCTTTTCGAAAGTGTTTGGAGGAGCGACATCTAATGAAGGGCTGGGTCTGCTGAACTTCGGCTTCGATTGGCAGTATATTCAGAGCACCTATCTGTCATTGCCCTTGAAACAGCAGCTCAACAGCTGGATCGGCTATGCGATCTTGTATCCTGTGATTCTGGGCCTCTACTACGGGAATACATGGAGCGCAAAGTCCTTCCCATTCATGTCAACCTCGCTGTTTAACAGCAACGGCAAACAATTCTCCACCACCTCCATCCTCTCGGATAAAGGCACAATCGACTACGACAAGCTGAAGCAAGTGGGCATCCCGCATCTCACCGCCAGCACTGTCTGGGGCTACCTCACGCAGAATCTCGCCATCGGCGCACTGATCACCCACGTCCTCATATTCTACGGCAAGGACATGTATATTGCCTGGAAGCAGGCGCGTAGCCGGACCCAGCCAGACCCGCACTACCAGGCAATGCTCAAGTACAAGGAAGTCCCATTGTGGTGGTACCTCGCCCTGTTCGTCCTCGCCTTCTTCGCAGGCCTCATCGTAAACATCAAGGGCGAAACAACCCTCCCCGCATGGGGCTACATCGTCTCCCTCCTTCTGGGCGCATTCATCGCCCCGTTCTCCTGCATCCTGTACGGCCTCTATGGCACCGGCGTCGCAACCAACCAGCTCTCGAAAATGGTCGCGGGCGCAGTCCATCCGGGCCGCCCACTGGCAAATCTCTACTTCGCCAGCTGGTCGCACCAAGTCATCCTGCTCTCCGTGAATCTTGCCAACTGGCTCAAAGTAGGTCAGTACACCAAGATCCCGCACCGCATCATGTTCGCCACCCAGGTCTACGGCACCCTCCTCGGCGCAGGCCTCAACTACGCCGTCATGACCACCATCGTCTCCAACCAGCGCGACATCCTCCTCGACCCCGCAGGAAACAGCGTCTGGAGCGGTTCGACCGTGCAAAGCCTCAACTCGCAAGCTATCACCTGGGCGCTCGCCCGCGATGTCTACGGCGTGAACGGCCGGTATCTAATCGTGCCCTTGGGTCTCATTATCGGGCTTGCCTTGCCGGTTTTGCACTGGGGTCTTAACAGGGTCTTTCCCCGGATGCGTGCTTGGCCGCTGAATACCGCAATGATTACTTCATATGCCGGGCAGACGTATTACGGCATCACGTCGTGGATCTGGTCGTCCATCGCGGTGGGGGTGTTCTCTCAAGTGTGGCTTCGCCGGCGTCTGCCGCGTATTTACAACGAGTATAACTACCTCATTGGGGCGGCCTTGGACGGGGGCTCGCAGATTGTGATTTTCATTCTTTCGTTTGCAGTATTTGGGGCCAGTGGGACGGAACACCCGTTTCCGACGTGGTGGGGGAATCCGGCTGGGAATCCGGATCATTGCATTTAGTTCATTTCCTCTCAGTTGTCGATATCAGAGTCTGCCTTATGTAAGAAGCTTGTATCACTCATCAAGGGCTCTGTGAATAGAAGCTCTGCCTGCCTAAATCATTGGTGTTCATATTAGAGATATTTGGATTACCCCCCGTCTAAGTCACTTGCATTGCGTGTCTAGCTGACGACAGACTGAAATTTCCACCAGCGTCAGCAAACTGTAGTCGTTGAAAACGTCCTCCATCCGGATATCCATTCCCTCCCGCCTCGCCAACCCAACAACCGTCATCGCCTTCATGGAGTCACCCCCCAGACGGAAAAAGTGATCGTCCGGTGATACATCACCCAGCGGGCGGTTCAAATACGATGACAAGCGATTCAGCACAATAACAGTCTCTACGGACCCGGGACGATGTACTCTGAATAGTCCTGTCCCTTGTCTCTTTCAACAAGGGCATAAAATCCGAAAGAGCGAGAGACCTTGGAAGATTCTAGCACCGGTGTCAGTGGCGGGGCGCGCATCGGCCAGATTAGGTCCCACCTTGCTTGGTTGATAGCCAGCCCAGATGTAAATCTGCGACATTATGTCAGGACCACACACGCCCTGCGCCACTCGCGCTCTGTGACCAAAGCCGCCGTGGATAAAACTGGCATCCTATCCATCTGCTGCCAGATAGTTTCATAGTTGCGATGTGAAGCAAACTCGTCTTGGGTGTCCTCCCAAGTCTGGTAGCAAGAGTGAGGCAGACGGGTCAAAGGCGGTTGTGCTGGGAGAAACCCGAACTCTTTCGAAATTTGATACTTCTCCAAATCGATCTCTGCGAGTTCCGACATTCTCGAAATGGCCAAGTAAAGAGATGGCTGTTGACTATGCTGATAATCCAGTGTCTAGGGCTCTTTTATCGGATAAACGCACACCGACACGACCCAGCAGCCTGTATCCCTTGCAGATGAAGTCACGCTGCCGCTTCAGCTCAGCCATCTATGTAATAACTCTTGAGGATGATCTTTCGGCTTTCTGAAATACTACATTTCCGAGGCACTGCTGCCGGTAATACAGGTCAGCCGCGTTCTCCAATTTAGGAGATCTGATGCAGGGCTTCAAATCTTCTGCACTTGTCGGCCTGGATCAGTCGAAGAAAGAATGGCAGGATAGTCTATCATCCAATTCATAGCCATCTCAATGAGTCCTACTGATAGAGATTTCTGTCTTCTCTTATGTAAAAGATTCTATAGATAGTTGCAGTATCCAGTTTTACTTCCAGCATTGCCAGTAAGTATAAAATAACCAAAGAATATGTAACTATCATAAGTTCCAGTCAGGATTAGTAAAGAACATTCATAGCCTTTCACTCTCCCACCACTCCCCTGCTGGAAAGTCTGCCCGACATTCATTGACCTGCAGCATCTCTCATGATCGCCAACACGGCCAGAATCGGAAACCCACCGGTCCAGCCGCGGGACCACGTAGAATGGCCAGACATTGAGCCTGTCCCGCTGCATACCCGCTACACTCGAGCGAATTATCGGGGGAAGTGTTCCGCCCCTTGACTCAGGATATCAACATGCATGCAACGCCAGAGGGAAATAGTGGAATATGATCAGGTTCGTCATCGCTCAGCATGCGGGAGTCTAGGCTTTCTCACGGCATGACCGCGTCAACTCAATCAAATCAATAAGGGTCCTAAAGGTTAATACAGTACACAATTTTCGCACAGAGCCAACAAGCAAATATTTTCCCGACTTACGCGGGAACCTAATACCTGCAGCTGCCCTGGAGTCGGATGCAGCGTCAACTGTGATTTACTGGACCAGGGAAAATGTGACCTGTCCCCTGCAAGGTAGTACACGTCCGCATGCGGTAGATATATAATAGGCACTTATTGATACACCGTCACACCGCCATGTCGCAGTTCTAATGCCTGTCGGAGGGTACATGAGGTCATGCTACAACAGGAGAACGCTTAAATACCCCGTCTTATCCTCAGCTACAAATCTACCGAAAAAGAGAATCCAACAATCTTGATCAGTTCTTTTGATCCTAAAACCCAGGTATCTGTCTTGGACACAAATACTCGATAATAATGGATGACCCACAGGAGATTATCTTGGGTAAGTGTAAGAAATCCTTCAGAATATTACCCCTTATCACTAACACAAGACTAGAAAATGGAGTAAAGCGAACCAAGGTCGATGAGAGGAGTTACAAGGTTGTGGAAGCTGAGGTGCCTAAGCCTGCAAATGCCATTGATATTTCTGGCTCTAAGGGACCTGTCACTGTGAGCTCCATTGTCTGATACCACGAATTTCTCACTAATGCAAAGTAGATCAAAGGCTGGTTTGACGGTCAAAGGTTCGATGCCTGTCTCGATATTGCCATCTTCGATAAGCCTATTGGGACAATTAAACGCTCCCTACATGGTTCCATATTCATCGAAGTCGATTTCAAGGATCATAAAGGATCTGTCAGTCTTGAGCCTTTTCCTGATGGAGTTTCTGGTTACTATTCTTTACATGTTATTTCCAGCAGATCTCATCTGGAGGACCATTTTCGGTTTGGCAAAGTGTAACTTTCCATGGCAGACAATTTCGCGCTTTAAGTGATAGGGAAATCAGAGGATACATTTGAAAACCCTTCTTGAAACTTGATTATATTCTCAGCAGCTCCCTATATAATACACGATATGTTAATACCAACTACATGGCTCTGAAAGGTCTTCATAAAACTGTACAATCTTTAAACTGACGAAAGAGGAACCTCCATAGAAACCAACAGAAGGCTTCATGAATGTGACGATGAAGCTGGCGCTAAAATCTGCCTAGACAGCCTTTGGTTTGAGAGGATGATGGCGCCGCCGATGTCTTCTGGTGCAGCTCTCCCTTCGTAGACGATGCATGGAATGCATTGTTGGTGCAGGGCCAAGGCGAGCGTGAGTCCGCAGAGTCCGGCGCCGATTATGGCGACCTGCTCGGTAACTGTCATGATGGCTGCAGGGTTATCGACAGCGGATGAATTTAAGATGGCAGTGTCTATGCGCTGACTTTAATACCCTTCCTGAATATCGGACTCTAACTTGTAGTCGGCAATCTCCGTACGCTTGCCGATCTACAACACCGCTACTTCCTTGCATGATAGACCGCCTGACCGGGTGGCATACAGTCACTACCACTATATCCGCTCCCTGCAGAGGGATTCCTGACTAGCCTTTTATATTCAAAGTTGAGACAGGTATAGATTTCATCAGTTGGATCAGGCGTTCGATGTGCGAAGGAATCCACATCTCATTGCAGAATCTACAGGAAGCTCCTAGGACTTAACATCTGCCAGTCGTTCCACCTGCTCACTGAGCAGACGGATGAGCAAGGGTGAATTGAAACGATACAATTGAATCTCCGTCTGCAGATAGTATAAGAAATTCGTTCATACAGAATTGTGAGCAGGACGATATGGACTTCATTCGCAATAGAATACGGAGCCCAATTACTGCAACAACTAAGTTAATTAGGAAACTCAGACCCTCTTAACATCAGATCTTGGGTTTCTCCGACTCTATCAAATCGGAAATAGGTAGCACAACTCTCATCTCCTGTAGCAGGCGATGTCCGAGAATACTGCGTGGTACTCTTCGTTTGGCGCCAATTGGGTGGCTCTCCGAATGCCAGTATATTGGCAATATGGTTCCATGAATGCATATGCCCAATGTTCATTTCCTCGACATTTTCATTGTAAACCTCAGGGATTTCATCGACGCTGATGGTTATGGACTTCTTGGCCAGGGTGAAGCAAAGGACCAGAACAAATGCAAAGATCTCAGGGCGCAGAAGTGAATGGCTGTGAAGCAGACTATATGATCGACACCCTCGGCGAAGCAATCACAGTGCAGGAGAGCTTGCTCCATGGACTCGATATGAACGGCCTCGTACACACCGGTGCTCCGGCAGATATTCGCCATCTTGGAGGATATGTCAAAGCCCAGCAAGCGACTACTGGCGGCATTGCTTTCTGCCAACACACACCCGAAGACACCTGTGCCGCAGGCGAGATCAAAAACGGTTCCGCCAAAGTCATACACGTCTGTCAGGTTTCTGATAGCTGCTGCAATTGTGTTATCATGGTCGAGACTTGTGTCGTATTTCGAAGCGAAGCCATCGTACGAAGCGGCAATTTTCGCCGAGACATCCCGTTGCGCTACGTTTCGAAGCAAGTAATTCGCAATGAAAATATTGATGACCGCCGGGTATCCTCCAGGAAGACTGTGTACGAGGGGTTGATCCTGGGAAGGCCCTTTGGGCATGAAAGCCGCAGGCTGGGGGTCGACCTCAATAGTGAAGACGTCGCCATTAGGCCAGGCACGGAGACTAATGTCGCGGCCCATGTTGCTGCCTCGACATCCACTAACGACGAAAGCGTCAATTGCGACGTTTTGGAGACGTTCAAACAAAAAAGGATTTTCTTTCTTGCGTAACTGCTCGATGCGAGTCTCGCCGTCGAATTTTAACTTCTCCGTCCCGGTTCTCTCCTTTGTGCCCGCCTTGAATGGAGTCAAGGCAATACAAGCGTCGCCCATTTGAACGACGGTGCAAGTATACTTCTCCCCGTCAATATACTCTTGAATGGCAATATCATCACTATTGCGCCCGACAGGGTTGTACGATTCAGCATAGGTCTTTATATCTCCAATGCCCATCGCCTCAGCTCGGCGGAGGGCGCCCTCCAGCTCTGCCTGGTTGTGGCAGACCGACTGTTCATCAATCAGTTGGCTGGCACATCCATTCTCCGGTTTGACTACCAGAGGGAAGCGATCGGTCCCCGGCACCGGCGGCGCAGCCCGGCGCCTGGCATTCTTGTAGAAGTTGTTCTTGGTCATTGAGCGTTCCCAGCTACATATACCACAGGAAGGAAGATTCAGGGATTCAAAGTAGCGACTTTCCAGGACGCCCGCGACAGGGTCATCCAGCGTTGCCCACATGAAATTGAAGTAGAAGTCGAAGCCCTCGGCTGCTGCTGCGTCGATTTCCTATTTAGCAGTGGCCTTGTTGATGAAGTGGTATTCAAAGGTATGCTCGGTTGTGAGGAGCCCTAGCTGGGCCATCTTGTCGTCCACATCCTGCAGTGCGGAATCTGATCCTTCGTAAGATGACTGCAAGACACAGATTCTCATTGTGATGTTGTATGTTTAGAGCAATGTGGAGAAAAGGGCAGGCTATAGACGTCAATTGCTGAGTGTTTCGACACCTGGAAATCGCGGAGGACTTTGCATCCATGGTCGAGCTAGATCGAGGCTTGGAAGCTGCAAACCTCTGAGCCGATCTTCAGCTCCTGCGGGCCCAAAGCGACGATTCATGTTTATTGTTGCAAATGATAGTAGCGGGGCTCACCCAAGGGTGTCTGAGGTTGGCCTTGCTGCACGTTGACAAATAGACGACCTGCACTCACCTAGCCACGGACTCAGCCTGGCAATTCTGGATGGATCTATCAATTTGGAACAATTCCCAATAGGGCGGACTATTGATTTGTATAGTTTACTGCATATATTACCTTGTCATTACTCCACAATCAATCTTCGTAGAAGGATACTGAACTCTGCATAGTCAGGCTATGGAATACCATATACTAAGCATATCAAATCCTTATGTAGTAGGATATTGAAGCAATATTCCATACTATAAAATATATTATTTTCAACAATATTATTTCAATATCTTACTACTCCGTATATGAGGATTGATGATTCAAAATCGGAGATATCAACAGTGGGGCACCGGCTTTCCCGATCCGGAGCCCGCCATCACCAACAAACTATAAGAAGTCGATGCATCCTCCCTCCTCAATATCGGATCTTATAACACGCCATTGCTCTTCAAGCTCTAATCAATAACCGCAACCACCTACGACATCATGCCCCTCACTACCGATGAAACCGCCCTCGTCGACGCCGCCACATCAACTATAACCAGCATCCCCATCTCAGATACCTACAGCGTTGCCAGCGCCGCGCGATCTTCTGACGGCCGCATCTTCACCGGTGTTAACGTCTTCCACTTCAACGGCGGGCCCTGCGCCGAGCTCGTTGTCCTGGGCTGTGCAGCAGCGGCTGGAGCCACGCATCTAACGCATATCGTTGCGGTTGGGAACGAGAACCGAGGCATTATGAGTCCGTGCGGACGCTGTCGGCAGACGTTGATTGATTTGCATCCCGGGATCAAGGTGGTTGTGCTTGATCGGGGGGAGCCGAGGACTGTGGCGGTGGAGGAGCTGCTGCCGTTTGCATATCTTGTGGATTGACTGCTGAATGTGGAGGTTGATACCAGCGATTGAGAACGTCCAGTTTTATGGGTCGTGTGAGAGCGTTGGACTGTCCATTGTTCTAGACAGCCATCAATAGTGGACATTCCGGATGAACCTGATGTACATCTACTCTACATCATGACATAGTACGAACATGACGCCTCTGTTCTCCTGCCAAAAGACCGTGTGGTATTTCCCTTATAAAGGATGCCCCATGAAGTTTTATGCAGCGCTAAACCCTTACTCCCCTGACCAAATAAGACCAAAATACTCATATCCGCTCAATTATGACCGACCGCATCAGTGTCCCTCTCCCATTCTCAAGAAGAACTGGGCCATACCATTCGCGCCATCCTCCCCAAACATCATCTGTCCGTTGCTAACCGTCTCCTCCGCCTTCTCCTTCGCGTGCGCCACCATGTCCTTTTCAAACTGTCTCAGTAACGGATCCAGTGCAGTCTGAAACTGGCCAACACCCCGCCCAGGTCCCCACGCCTGCACAATAACCTTCGCCAGTAACAGCGCATCACACATCGCAAGGTTAACCCCCTCCCCAGCCCATGGACACATCAAATGCGCTGCGTCCCCGACAATCGTCGCGCCGGGCTTGTGCTCCCACGCAGCCCCAATGGGCAGCATGTACAGCGGCTTAACAGCAACCGCTCCAGCAGGCTGGTCCGCTGTCTCATCGGACGCAACACCAACAGCCACCAACTCCTTCACAGAGTCACCAAACCTCCCAAGTAGGGCATCATCAGTTAGCAGCTCCTCCTTGGTTAAGCTGGCCACTCGCTTCCCCTCGCCACCAAACCGCTCGTCCGCCGTGAGAAAGACATACACGCGCGCTGAATCCCGCGGTCCACGATGCGTAATCACCCCATGCTGCAGCCCGAGCGACAAAAAACTCCCGCGGCCAATCAGCTCCGCCAGGTGCGGATACCGCGTGCTGATGTTCTCGACGGTCAGTATGATGCTTTGGATTCCTGCGTAGTGCGGTCTGATATCCGTCAGGAGAGCGCGTACGGCTGACCACGCGCCGTCTGCGCCAATTACGAGGTCGAATGTATGTTTGCCGTGGGGGCCAAAATCCAGCTCTGTCTTGGCGTTGGTGGTTGTGGTGGTTGCGGAGAGGAGCTTGTGGCCCCATTTGATGGACTCTTGTGGTACTTGGGTAGCGAGAATAGCCAACAGAGCGTGGCGGGCGATCTCGGGTCGTTCCCTTGGTCGGTTATTGTCGTTGCCATCGTCGCTATAGAGAATATTACCATCTTTATCAGCGATTATTTGCGTCTCGGCACAATCGCCTGTGTGCTTGACGAATTCATCATACAGCCCGCATTCGCGGATGGCTGCGAGGCCGGATCCTTCATGGAGATCGAGCATGCCGGACGGTTTTGAGAGCTCTTCAGCTGTTGGTTTCTGGCGCAGCTCGAAGATGGTGAATGGGATGCTGTGTTTGTGGAGGAGGGCGCCGAGAGTCAGGCCTGCGGGGCCGGCGCCGATGACGGCGATTCTGGGGGAAATCATATGAAATAGATGATGAATTCGAAAGTGATTATTGTTGTTTGTACTCTATTGCAATGTGAGCGCAGAAGACTGTCAGTAGACGCTTTATATACGTTGGCCAAAGCTGTAGCCTATTTCGTCGGGGTTTAGTATCTCCCGAGCGCAGTTTCTAGGTGCCGAGTAAGGCATCCCATGCTGTCATCTTTCCATTGATAGTGATTAGTGACTATCAGAAGCTTTCTAAAGCCTCCCAAGTTCCCGTCCTCTCATTTATAGTATTCAAGACTATTATTAGCAGCTATACCACTGACCTGCGGCCTACTGAATAAGAACGTAAGAGCTACAAGCCTACAACCTAATGAAATGATCTTGAGCAGAAGCCCCGATGAAAGGCAGACCGAAATTATCCTCCAGATCGTTCTTGCTACTGCACAGCCTCTGTCCCTCGACGAGATGAATGTGGAACTGACACTGGCATTGCGAGATACAACATTTGAATCACGCGCCGAAATTGAGTTTGATCTATGGCAAAGTAATTTCAAGGGAGTCGTCGAGAACTTATGTGGTCTTTTCATCACGGCGCGACCAAGGGGGCTTTTCTTTCTTCACCAGACAGCAAGAGAGTTTCGTATTGATACTAAAAAAGACAATAAATGGCGACGACGGTTGGATTTAGCACAGTCCCACGCTACGATAGCACGACCATGCCTGCGGTACCTGCTCTTACGTTGAGTAGAGATCTGAAAGTGACGCCGTCATGGACAGCAACGACTTTCTACCGTACGCTGCCCTTCATTGGGCGCTGCACTATCTTTTGCAGGACGCCAGCGCTGCTCGCCAGCTCCAGACCAACGCTCTTGTACTCTGCAATGTGACTGACCCGCACACCAAAGCTTGGATAGACCGTTACTTTGATTATGACTATGAGAATGCGGTTGATTGGACTCCTTTGATATTGGCGACCTATATCGGTCTCCCAATTGTGGTCCAGGCGCTTTTGGATTCGGGCAGTGACGCCACCATCCAAGACGACGAGGTTGGCGCAGCCCTGTGGTTGGCAACCCTCATGGGCCATGAGCAGGTTGTCCAGATACTTTTGGATTGCTGCAGTGTCAGTGTCACCTCCTCAAAGCAAAGAGTACTCCATAGCATTGCGCTTCGCAACCAACGCGGGCCGAGACGATATCGTGGAGATGTTGGAGGCTGTACATGCCGACCCCAAGGCTTTACTAGATTATACTTTTATAGGCTCATCCATTACAAGCCCAGCTAGTGTTCGGATTATCAACCAATTGTTCCTGGTCCTCATGCGCGACAGAGGGTGGAAAAACTCTCCGCGGCAAGCTCAGAAACAAATACTTGCTTAATCCACCGAGAAAGAAGTTGGTTTGATTGAGCAGGATAAGCTAACGCAAATTCGGGAATCACGAAAAGCGACCAGAGCATGATGAAAAGTTTCATGTTGGACGTCTTATGGAAGCAGCTCAAACTTTCCAATTATTACCGGGAAGCAAGTAACCGGGTGTCGAGAATATAAATTCAAGACCAGCTTAGCATGGATTGCCTCTTTAGCCTAGCGAAATATTTTAGCATGGAAAGTTCCCAATCCACCCAGATAGGACATCTCTAATCGAATAGTCAGCCAAAAAGGGGGCGGCTAACTTCTACGTTGTTGCTGGATTTCGGATGCAGCCACCATCACATTCGCTGCATTGTCACGTCTACGTGGCCAGCTGAAGCAGGGGTTGTGCGGAGGAGTTTGACAGAAGTAGCGTCAGGATCCTTTGCGAATATTTGTGGTTGACCAGCAGTGCACAGCCAACATATACCTGCACGAAGTCCTACATAGGTATTATTCGGTAAGCGGCTTGGTCTCTTCGAGTGATCAGGTATTTAGTGCTTCCGGGTGCCCATTACCTTGGGCAGTTCTTACTACTCCGCGGTCTTCCGCGTTACAACACAAGTCTTCCTTTAAGACGGCCGGTATTAGAGTTGCAAGCGACGGTATTCACCGCGCCAGACGCAACATTTCGACGGATACAGCCTCGATAGAGAATTTCAGATACGACTAGATAGTTTAAGAGATTCTAATCTGTTGACATTCCCTGAACGAACGGACCGAATCCTTGCATACAGTTTTGTTCCCCTCCGCTTCGAAGTTGATATCATCACTACCACGGAGCGAATTTGGAAACATCAATGGACGATTCGCGGGATATTAAGTTGCAGACAGCGCTTCAAAAAGCTTGTGATACCGGCAATACCTATATGGCCAAAGTGCTCCTTCAGCAAGGAGCAAGCGCCAACATCAGAGACTCCAGTGGAAGAGCACCGCTGCACGTAGCCAGCTTTCGGGGAATTAAAAACCTTGTGGAAGTGCTCCTTCAAAGTGGAGCAAATGTTGATCTAAGGGACAATGATGGACAGACGCCACTGCACATTACTAGCAACCTTGGGGATAATATAGAAGTAGCTGAACTACTTCTTCAAAATGGGGCCGATGTCGACATGAGGGATAATGATGGCAAGACAGCATTGCACAAAGCTAGCGTCAAAGGAATGGAAGGAATGGCAAATCTACTCCTTCGACATCAAGCACATGTCAACTTCAGAGACAATTTCGGGTGCGCACCATTGCATTTAGCCGTTAATGAAATGAAGGCTGAAGTATTGAAAGTGCTCCTTGAACATGGAGCGAATGTCAACATGAAGGATCCTAACGGGAAAGCTGCACTGCACTTGCTCGGCCCCGCGGCGCGGACTGATGTCTTGGAGCTACTTCTTCAACATGGGGCAGATATCAATTTGAAGGATGCTGATGGAAATACGGCGTTGCACTTGGCCTGCGTCTATGGATGGAAGGATGTGGCAGAGCTGCTGCTCCAACATGAGGCTGATATACATATAAGAGACTCCAACGGAATGACAGCAGTGCAATTGGCCAATCTTAGCGGATCAAAGGAAATAGCGGACCTGTTTCTTCGACCCGGAGCGACGGCTGAGCCTATTAAGGATGAAAGCCAGTCACAATACGCTAAATCTAAAGTAGGGATAGACGCAGAGGAGTTGGCTACTGGACACCCGCCAGAAGGAGACAGCCAGGTTGACGGGCCAGAAATCTGCGACAAAGGGTCGATGCCTGCAAATCTCAAATATAATGCTCGGGATGGGGTCCGTTGTGACAACGGCGACGGCTTCATCTTGGCCACGTACGACAATCATGACATATTCTTCGATGCCAAATTGGAGTCAATACGTTCGTCTAGACATGACGACGAGGACGTGCATTCGATTCAGTTGAAGCTCAACTTCATGAAGTCCATCTCCACGAACCATCGCATACGTTATGCAAAGGTAGACGTAAGGCTGCGTGAGGGCCCGTCCGGAGATTCACCCCATATTCGCACTATTATGCCACAGGCCGATCGAGTTGAGGTTTCCGAACAGGAGATCACATCGGGCCAAAAGTTCACAGTCGGCGCTTCAGGAAATGGTGGACCTTCCTCCAGTGTCAATATCAGCATGGAAGGCTCCAAGGGAAAAAGGTCAACTTTTAAAGGTGTCCGGATCATCCATGGTGCTGTCAAGGACAGGATGCACGCTTCCTGGCGCCTTTATGAAGAGCCAGGGAGCAAAAGTGGTCTACCAGAAATCGTTCGACTTCTAATGGTTGTCCAGTGCCAAGGGGAGTTTGACATACGGTTATCACTGTCCATTAAGGCCTGCCATTTCTTTACGTTTGGCATTCCGCGCATGTTGACGGCTGGACAAGGACCGGCCTATCTGGTGCCGAATTTGAGTGTTATTTCTGCTTTTGAGCAGTCGTCAAAATTACAGCAGATGCTGGATGCTGCAAATCGCGCAGCTGCGGTGGTAGAAGAAGCAAAGAAGCTAGAAACGGCGTTTGCTCAGGCAATTAAGGATCACAAAAAGCGAGCTCTGATTATGGAGGCAGGAGTAAAGGAAAGTTATCTGCAGGAATGGACGGACATTGTTGATGCGTCCAAATCCAGTGATTTCAGAATTCTGCGAGAGAAGCTGCTACGAATGGGAGACGTAGAGCGCGGCCAGCAGATGCACCCCGCACAGGAGCCTGGACCGGATGAAAAGTTCACACAGATAGAGCAGCCTAGGCGTGGGAAGTCTCCACAACCAAAGCCGGAGCCGCCGGTGAACGTGCAGACGCAGACGCGGCGGATGCAGGACAGGTTTACGGAGAAGGACTTGGGAAGGACGATCCTCGCATCTATGCCCGCCTCAAAGAATGTGGTGGCGTCGTTCTCTGCTGTGGGCCCAGGTTATACAACATCACGATTGGCTTAATGCCAGAAGCATTGCTCTAGGTATGGGGCGACCGCTGACCTACCCCCTACCCTCGCACGATTCGGAGACTCTACGCCCACTGTGACGAGCGATTATCCCATATGTATATATACCGACACACGGACATCTGTAAATCTTTACATAATAGTAAAGTTTAAACCTTATTAAGTGTAATATCTGATCTAGTAAGGCCTTAGCATTTATCTTATAATCTAGAAGGGTACTAAGCTAAGAAGAAATTTGTTTAAATCTGTTGGATTCCTTACTTACCTATTTTATAAGCTCTGTATCCTTTTAGAGTAGTTTATCTCTTACTTACTTCTAAACCTCCTTAATCAGAAGATCCGCAACCTTAGTAGTATCTATATTAGGGATATAACCCTGCATACTACTAGATAAGAGTAGCTGACTGTAAGTGAATTAACCAGATAATCGCGTTTTCATATAACTGGAATCCAGTATGGAACATATAAAGGAACGAAGTTTCGGCTCCAGCATTGCAGGAATATTCAAGCAAAACGCCGAGCGAGCGCCTAACGGTGTATGGAAAGGGTAGGTTTATGTTGAACGTCAAAGTAGCACAATAGATTCATTGGTCTCCCTCTCAAAAATGAAGAATACACAAGGTCAAGTACTCGCTTTTGATAAACCATCCTAACCTGCTCGACATTCTGTCACGCCAGGATCGGACAGTATGTTTGAGGGCCATTGCTCGCAGAAAGGCTCATTACATACTTACAACCCCTCTGGAGAAGACTGACCATCTCCCTTCCAAGCGTCATGCTTTAGCTGATTCAACTCATTAGGACCTCCTATGTACTTAGTATAACAACATTGAAGAGTGCTCCACTTGACATCACCTTGCTTAATGACTGCTGTGCCTTCAGGCGAACTATAGTTAAACTAATGTAAGCTAGGGGGTTGTAGCAAACACTAATGTAGTGGTCTGTTTGTACAAGACTCGTTGTAATTCACTTGCGTTACATATACCCTGAGGCCGATAAGGCTGACAATGATTTAGTCACAAATAATAGTAGAATGCTAAATAACTAATCAATACTAAACTCTTGTGAAAGGACATTCCCGAAACCCTTTTCTAGAAGACTGAATCTGTCTACATATTTCTCATCCAATAATTGCGGACAATGTAGGGCCAACTGGTTAAGCTGATGTTAGCCAGTCCTATTTCATTGTAATGCCCTTTTGAGGCAAGTCAGAATTTCTGAATGTGATATAGTCATTTATTACTACTTAACATATCTGGATTCAAGGAGAAACCCTTGGATAATGGACACTACTCCCTCAACAAGACACATTTTCAATTATATGATACCTATTGCGCTTAACCTCCCGTCCCCATCTCGAACACTGAGGGAGCTTTATTCAAGGGAAGCTCTGCCGCGGGTGCGGCAGCAGGAGTAGCACACATTCGACCGCTCAGCATGTACTTTACTCCGGAGTGTTGATTCTCTTTTAGTCTTCGCTGGTACCTTCGTCTTTGGGACCACAGGGCTCCTATTAATGTTACGAGACACACTCCTAGCCCGACACCAGTGCTAACGCCAACAACCACTGATCTGGAATCCGAGCACTTTGAAGCACCTGATGCAGCCCTGGAGGTCGCGTGTTCTGTTATAGTGACGGTAATAGCCGTCGTGGTGGTGGTGGCAGTAGAAGTAGCCATGGGAGATGGGGCAGCCGACGAGGTATTCAAGAGCATCGGCTTGCCCATTTGCAGTTTGAAGGCGTTGTCGCAACAGTTCGAACCATTGGGACTACAGCACCAGTGGTCATTGCTGATCTCAGGACATGGCAGGACGTGAATTCCATAACTTCCTTGAATTGCTGTAGGTAGAAAGTAGAATCAGCAGCCCGTCATCAGACTGAAAATCAAGTATCTTTGAATCACGCACATTTAGGGCAGATTCCCGGACAGCCAGGACTCTCCCAATTCCGATCTGTACACCCGTTTAACAGAATGAGCCCAGTATATGGTGCAACCTGGGCCAGACAAAGCCCGTTACTCAGGCAGATATCATTGGGGTCTCCGTTCGTTTTATTGATTGCACAGCAAGCACTGTTGGTGTTGTCGGGAAAGCAGGGCTGTAGCTCTGCTAAGCCCGGGCTGCCGTCTGTAAAGTAGCACTGTGTGGCGATTGCGAACGGGAGGAGCGCTGTTTGAATTGTTAGGCTAAGTAGTACCTTCTGTTCAGGTAAGAGGGAGAGTAGCATTTTAGAGCAGAGTACACTATTCCTAGAACTCTAAAACACAAAATGTATTACGGAAGAGTGCCAAATATAAGGAGGACCAGGAATGGACTAATAAACCAGAGCGACGAGACCCATATCCAGGCGCTTATATCTCTGCAACAGAAGTATCAACGAGCTTTGGGCTTTCAATACAGCTGTGCCAATCTATAAACGCTCACCCTGTGAGTTCCTCTTCTGTGTGTGTGATTGTGGGGCATTGAGACCCTAGCCAACGGAACTCGTGCAATGAGTTTCAGATAGCCGCGCGCCTTGTAGACCTGGCTTGAGAGGCAATCCATTCATGCAGTTAAATGCAGCAAGGACTGGGACGCAATCAGAGTGACAAGACTCATATTCAGGTGTCTATATCCCATCAATGAGCATTGTGCTTTGAACACAGAGCTGTGCCGCGCGCTGTGCAGGCCTTGTTATTACATACAACCTTTCATTTATTCTTCTTGTTCCAGCCGAGTCCATCTTTGACCAAAGACTGGCCAATATACCAGACTCTCGTGCACAACTATCAACAAATCTTTGACGCTCCGAGGGCATGACTAAAACACGGAATGCGTCAGACGCCGATACAGCCACGTCCGCGAGATTGAGCGCTCCAATCATCCTGAGAAATCAACCTCCCCTTTTCCGTTCTAGAGAAGCCGAATACTCGGCCCGGCCCCCCGTGCGTTGGTCTAATCAATGGCTGCCATTCAAGGTCACCTAAGGGGGCCGCGGGGGTGGGGTGGTGGGGGGAAGTGTTGCTGGTTTACTCAGTGCGAGGCTTATGGCTTCGCCAAGCGGACTCCGTTCTATGGATTTCCACCCGAATTAATTTATCTTTGTATAACGCTTGCGTTGCATTCGGACGATCTACTGGGTAAGGTAATGTAGGGCCATCCTAGGGAGAGAAGCGTCAGGAAAACATGTTAGTTTGCTCAGAGTAGTCTGATAGCACTAGTTCCATGCAAATTTTTCATACCACATTATCTATTAAAAAAGAATTATAGGTTAGTTAAGCTCCTAAGCAAGTAGAAAATTCAATGTCATGAAATCTAATGGAAGTCAGGCCACGGGCGTAAAGACAACTCATGGGTATAGAAGGAGGTGGTGAAGTGCAGAACACAGGATGTATAACCTAATAGCAAATTGCCGTAACGTCATGAGCTAGAAGACTATACAAGGGTGGAAAATAGCGTTGAAAGTTGGCCGTAATGTCAAGGGGGTAAGGAGGAAGCTATATAGACTATATGCTATGGTACCAAGCCTCAACAACGCACTCTCCCTGAATAGGCCTCTTCTAGTAATTCGCCGCCACCGAAGACTACACGGAGTATATTACCTCAACTATAGTTCGCCCAGGGATGAAAGGAACCAATCCGGCCGATGTTCGCCGTACTTTTATCAAGGCGCCAATGCCGATCATTTTGCCGCCAACACTTGGTCACCTGTCAATCTAGCCATGTCCCCGATGATCCTCCAGAGGATACTTGCCCCCGCATCTTGGAGCTGAAGTCCTAGTGGAATGGCAAAGATCCGCCCAAGGCAACCGTTAATTGCACTCGGATGTACCTCTTGCCGAGGACAGCATTCGCACCTCCAAGGATCGAGTGCAGATAGGCACCACACAAGATGAAGCCCAGTTCGAACACCTGCTCCATGCGCTACGATAAATACGAGGTGGCATCTGCAGAGTGCCGATGCTGACTGAGACATCTGCGGAAATCCATGACACTAGCTTCAGCTTGCACTCGTCCTGGCGATTGATGGCGATTGGATACATGGGGCCGGACAGAGAAAAGGCAGGCCAAGCAAGTGGTGGCTAGCTGAGAGCTGACAGCTGCGAGGCGATTGACTTCATCACACACGTTGACAGCAGAATATCATAATTGTCTGTCGCTCTGATACTGTACACTGAGTGGACGAAGAATGGTATGTCCTATATCCAGCATCACACCACATACTCATGAAGAGCTCAATCGATGCATCAACTGTCAAGCAAGCATGATGCAACTGCTCGTGGTGACATCAGGTACCTCCACTGAGGCAAGCTGCATCCGGACGGACCAGCCCGGATTGAAACTGTATGTGATCCGGCAAGTCCCCGTCACACTGCATAAGGTGTTCATGCTGTGTTACGTCTAGTGCGGAGTTCTCTCAGTCAGTTCTTGTCTTGACCAGTTAGACATTCAAACAACAGCAGCTCAGCTACATCTGTTCTGGATGATCAACCAGCTGATCACTTGAACACCACTGAATTGCCCCGCGATCAAAGGTCGAGACTGTCATAGCCGGATCATCATGACTGATGATCGTCGGGAAGACCGAGAAGTGGCTGGCGGAAACGTCACAAGCCCTCAGGAGTCGTGTTGCTATTAGGTAACGGCGCTGGAGTAGGTGTCGAGGCATGACTCTAAGCAGCTACAAGTGCAATGCCTCGAAAGACATAAAAGGGAGCAAAACCCACGGCCAGGAAACCTCCCAGTCATCACCGAGCAACACTCAATACATCCAATCTCAGCTTAGCAATCTATCTACTACATCATGAAGACCCTCGCTCTTACTCTGGTTACCCTGCTCCTGCAGGCTCCTCCCCTCCAGGCCAAGATGTACCGCCAAAATGTCATCACCTTCGAGGTGAGCCCCGACGCACACATCACCGGCCAGAAAATCGAGTACAACGATCCAGACTGCGACACAGGCATGCACTGCGTCGTGACCAAGACCTGCGCGGCCCCCGGTACCGGCCCCACGCTCAGTGCCGACAAGAAGCACTTCGCCTGCTGCCTGGCTGGCCAGCGGCTGCTCGGTAGTCCCGAGACGGCGTTCGACTGCTGCGCTGACGGCCATGAGCTGGCGGGCTCGTCGCAGGCGGGCTACCACTGCTGTCCAACGGGGTATTCCTTTGATGGGCAGCAGTGCAAGCAGGTGTGCAAGAACGGCAAGCTGCTCGTGAACGGGCAGTGTGTTTGCGCTGAGGGGATGGTCGAGGCGGAGGATGGATCCTGCCAGATCAGGAAGAAGGCGGCGATTTGTTCGTCGGGACTGGAGAGCGGTGAGTACCAATCCTACCTTTTAATACCGCCAGGTAAGATCCCTGCTCATGGATGAAGGAAAATGCTACACCTTCACCGCTGAGAATGGTAACCGGCTCGGCCTCCGTAACGACGGGGTCTACTACGCCGCCCCAGACAGCATGGTGCAGCGCTACGGCAAGTTCCAGCTCTGCAGTGATGAGAAATGCACCCCCGGCCGCGCCATCAACCCCTCCGTCAAGACCTACATCAAGGATCTGTATGGGGACGTCGCGACGGGCGCGAATGCAGGGCAGTGGCTCAACAATGCGCAGAACGGGGTGCATATCGGGCGGACTCCCACGTTTGATAGCGCGGGCCAGTTCGTGCTCAGCAAGTGGCCCTGTGGCAAGTACTGTCTGGGTGGATTCGCTGCCGGCATTGGGCCTGCTTGTCCGGCGGAGATCCCGGCTATGACCTTTTACTCGCAGGATCCGCAGATGTGTGTGCCGTTTGAGTTAACCGAGGTGCCCTGTGATATCAAGGCGGATGTGAATAATTGTATTTGGAAGAATGGGGACCAGTGCTGCAATAGGGTTGACTGCACCTGGCGCCCTCTTCGTGAGTGATTGGTCTAGTCTGTGTTAGGAGGTCAAAGGGGTTGAGTCTGAAGTAGTACCAATGTTGCGAAGTAGCTGTTCTGTCGTATTAACAATTGCTTGAATTTATGTCAATTCATATTTACTTATGACACATGAACACTAAAACTCTGACATCAGGCCTTGGAATATGTGAAAGAGATGGCCATTCCCTTCTTGACACGGGGGCGGCATGGTCCGTGCGACTGAAGAGTCTTGGTACCTGGCGATCGTGCGGGGAATCTCCATATTCGTCAGACCAATTGAGTATATTAATATGGAGAAATTATCTGGAGAAAGCTAGTCTGCCGATTGAAGGATTCATCACAACCGAGGAGTCCACCAATCCAGACGTGCAAGTGTGGCGTCGACCATTCCGCATCTATCACGGACGACTGCTCACAATCCTCAGTAATCTATTTGAAAAGGGCTGTTCGATCTTCTAGCCAAAGTCAATTAGCTCTGACCGGGGATAGTATGCTGAATTCAGCACGGGGAACACGGGCAACGGGCCGTCCTGGCCCTGAGCCGAGCCATCGACTACTTAACTCGACTTTCTCCATGCCTCTGGATGTCTGATCAACCACAACAACAAGATGAAGTTCTCCCTCCTCACTGTGGCCAGCGTCCTCTCGGCCCTCTGGGCTCCGGCAGCCCTGGCCGCCCCCAGCGCAAAGAATTTCGCCAGCACGTCAGGCCTACAGTTCTCCATCGACGGGAAAACAGGCTACTTCGCCGGTTCCAATTCCTACTGGATCGGCTTCCTGACCAACAACGCGGACGTGGACCTCGTCTTCAACCACATGAAGCAATCCGGACTCAAGATCCTGCGTGTCTGGGGCTTCAACGACGTCAACACGGTCCCCGGCCAGGGAACGGTATACTACCAGCTGCACGCCAACGGGGCGTCAACCATCAACACCGGCGCGAACGGGTTGCAGCGGCTGGACTATGTTGTGTCCTCGGCGGAGAAGCACGGCATCAAGCTCATCATCAACTTTGTGAACAACTGGGATGACTACGGCGGGATGAACGCGTATGTCAAGGCGTACGGCGAGACGGACCACAATGCGTTCTACTCCAACGAGAACATCCAGAAAGCTTATAGACGGTACATCCGGGCTGTGGTGTCGCGGTATACCAACTCGCCTGCAGTCTTTGCGTGGGAGCTGGCCAACGAGCCCAGATGCAAGGGGTGCGACACCGAGGTGCTGTACCAGTGGATCAAATCGACGAGCCAGTACATCAAGTCGTTGGATAAGCGGCATATGGTCTGCATTGGCGATGGTCTGTCCCCCTGTGCCACATAGCATCTTTTCCCATGTATCAAACACTAACGGATGTGTTTAGAGGGCTTCGGTCTTGACCTCCTCTCCGACGGCAGCTACCCCTACAGCTACGTCGAAGGCAGCAATTTCACGCGCAACCTCGCCATCCCCACCATCGACTTTGGGACCTTCCACCTGTACCCGGACAGCTGGGGCACGACCCACGAATGGGGCAATGGCTGGGTGAAGTCACACGGCGCCGCGTGCAAAGCCGCCGGCAAGCCCTGTCTGTTTGAGGAGTACGGCGTTACCTCCAACCACTGCCCGCTCGAGACGCCCTGGCAGAAGACCGCGTTGAATACTACTGCCGTCTCGGGGGATTTGTACTGGCAGTATGGTGATACGCTCAGCACCGGACAGTCGCCGAACGATGGCAATACGATTTACTATGGCACGGATCAGTTCAAGTGTATTGTCACAGACCATGTGGCGGCCATCAAGGCCAAGCAGGGTTGGGTTTGAGCTGGGGGTTGACCAGTATATCAGTTAGAATAAGCTTCATTATCGCCACAATGAGACGGGATCTTTTATTGTAACTGAGGCCAGGAAATGCTAGAGAAGTAGCATTCCACGTTTCGGAGATGGAAGCTGTCATTCTGGACCCAAGAACATTAGGCTTCTCCCAGACACACAATTTGGGGGGAGACCAGGTCACAACACAGAGCATGCACCATTAGTGCTATTAAATTCAATCACCCAAGCATGGCTGTAAGCCAAAGTTATTATGCTCGTCATGTTTGATCTTAAAGCAGCTTTTAACAGTGTCAATAACGTAAGCCTTGATGCCCGCCTGCAGGATAAAGGTATCCCCATGAAAGCAACGGCTATAGGCCATACACTTCCGAGAGTCCAAGGATACATTGCAGAAACGAAGTTGAGGTAACAAGGCATGATATTTAGAGAATTTGCACGACGTCTATCTATAGCATTGTATACAAGATGCGCATATATCCAAGACGCCCAGCGAATTGCCTGATGTCTACCTCCTTAACCACCTCCCAACAATTTCGAACGATACTTCAAGTCGAGCTCATCATGCTACTGATCTGGGCCAGTTCGGAGGTCGGCCAGCCTTTCCGTTGGGCGCACCATGCTTTTTTGTTGCGTGTTCATGCAACGATCGTCTTGTGGAGTAGTGCTTAGGACAACTTTGACATTGAAATCCGTCCCCTGACGATTGGCTTGGCGGTGTGGCTGGGTGTTGACCAGGTCTGGGCTGCAATGTCGGCAAAGGTCTCTGAATACTCCCGCCACCTTGCTGCAACCGAGGCGAAGAATATGAAGCCTCTGGCGCCCTGCGCCCGTGGAGGGCTGTTAGCGCGCGATCAGGTTGTAGTGATTGGGATAATTACTGACCGGATGCTGGTCTCGGGAGTGGTATAGCCAGCGCCCTGGTCGATGTTTAGATCGGCCCGCTGGTTAGCAAATCCATGTTCAGTTGAATAGCCTCCTGATTCTCGGCCTAGTGTTCCGCGATTCATAGCAATTTACTCGCACTCGGACACGCATCAGGACGAGTTTCCTTTATTGCATTTTCTGTATAGAAGGTATCAAGTCCAATTCAAACCCCTCCTCCATCCCTCTCCTCCATTTTCTAGTCTCTATGTACAAGAAGGGTCCTGGAAAAAAACATGGATCTATAGTGTTGTTGGAATGTGCCGAGTCCCACCAGGTTCGCAACCCTATATTACAATCTATTGCATTGCGCTTTGCCACACTTCCGCGTCTCTCCGTGGGTGACTAGATCTAGAAAGCTCTAAATTCTAAAGTAGATGTAATTGTACATTACACAAACATTCACGCTGGTTCATCACGTAGCCCAACATCGGGGGTATGTGGAGTCTACCAATGCCTCCCATACCCAGGGTGCTGGAGTCCTAGTTGAGCACATAATACTGATACTAAATACGATCTGAAGCATCATTGCACGTCTCTTGTACGTCTCTGTATGGGAGTGACTTACGTTAGATCGATTTGTCTCTAGTAATGGCTTTTCAGTTATAACGTGAAGTGGATAACAAGGATATACCTATGCTATCTAAAAAGATATTTAACTGAAGTAAAGGGAAGAAAAAGAAAAGGAAAAAAGAAAATTTCAGCTGTCCAATCAGTATATTAATAAAGAATAAGAGAGAAGTCGCCTGTTGGGTTGTCAAGGACTGTCCACTGGCTAGCAGCGTGTTGAAATTCAAGGCAAAGAACCCTAGGATGGCGGCGGGGGCGGCGGCGGTGGTGGATTATTTGGGATAAAGCTATTTGGGCTTACTTCCTGCGGACTCTGTGTTGCTGTTGGTAGAGTGTGCACGCGGCCATGATCATCTTGTATAAGTGGGGCACCCCACTTGTCTTGTCCATCTGCCGAGGCCCCGAAGTGTACGCCGCCTAAGTCGTGATGTTGGGACGCAGTGGTAGACAGCGAAGCTGAAGAAATATCAAAATTTAGTGGATGGATAGCGCCTTCCCAAAATCAGTTTTAATAGAAACAAGACTGACCTTCATTTCCACTGCTCACATCGGCTGCATCAGTCACATCCATCGAATCAGTCACGTTGGCTGCATCCACTGCATCCACTGCATTCTCTGCATCCACTGCATTCACTGCATCCACTGCGTTCACTGCATCCATTGCATTCACTGCATCCATTGCATCTGCTAGGTCAGCCGACAATGCAATCACATTACCAGAACCTCCTGTGAACAGAGCAAGTATGGTATGGCGCACTAGGGAACGTGCGGCAAATTCCCAAAATGGAGACATATTTCAGAATATAATCAATATCAATATAATTAAATAGAGCTCTAGCCTAGGGATGAATATCATAGAAAGTAGGAAAGTTGCTATTAGCTCACTGCCCTATTTATATAAGCAGAATCAAAATGACAACTCTTCAGGAGATAAGATACCAGTATTAAAATGTACATAGTACATTTAGGCTTTCTAAGTCATCGTGCCACTCAGGACCACAGAGTTTAAATAGCGCTTATCAGGATCTTTTCATAAGGTACCAAATCTGGGCTTTCCAAGTTCCTGCTAGCAGGGTGCCACAGAATCTCTGTTTTATTCCAGCAAAAAGTTGTGGTTTACATCACATGTTACTCATATGGTGGTAGAACTTTCTTGATAACTAGTATTATTTAATAGGATAACTAAAACAAGCTTATGACCAAGAATTACGCTACGATGAAGGTGAAAGATGAGAGTTATTTTACTACGTATAAAATAGAAATAAATAAATGCATGGGTTTTCAACTATGGTAGCTCTAAAGTCTACCCAACTCATAGTGATAAGGGTCTAGAACTGACGAACAAGATGAAATGTGGGAGAATCGAGAGGCAAATTGATAACTCATAGTAGAGGATAAAACTAGACTAAAACTAGATAGGAAGAAACCAAAAACATTTGGCCAGGTATTAGGCGTACGGGCTATGTCGGGGGTTGAATAGAAGCCAAGCTCAGCGACGCCCTGTTCAGCCGAATAGAAAGTTGTACTCATCAAGTCAGCGGATGTATTGGCCATAGTAAGAAGCTGATTGAAACGACGCGGATCGACTCACTGAAAACAGGAGCATGGTCAAGATTCGAGCTGTGATCGAACTGATTGCCGTCGACCAAATCGGCACCGCCACTATCAGTGGAAATGGAGCCATTTTCAGACTCTATTCCTGATTGCAAAGATGGCGTCGATGCTCGCTTCTTTGTCATGGCTCTATCCACCTAGTGGAGGCCGTGGTACATGGCTCAATCCCTGACTGGGCGCATATCTCATGCACTTGGGGATACACTTGTTGCGACGGGAAAGGAGGAAAATCGAGCCTTGCCAGCTGCACCAGGTCTGCTCCATCGTCTTTGACGGAGACGGACAGATCTCGCAGTATAAGTACAAGGCCCTACGTCCTCTCTGTCGTATGCCCACTCTCTGTGGGAACTTGTCAATCACTTCCTCCACTATCCAACTGTTGGCTAAAGTCCCGTATCTGCCTCATCTTGAGAACTGCCAATATACCACCGTATACAATTGTTGTAAGTATTCTACATACAGCGCAGTCCGAGCCGATCTAACTTGCCAAAGACTTTACCTTGCCCTGCTTCATCAAAACAAACCCAGTAATGGCACGAGCAATCCCCCGTCTTTTCTCGCGCGCACCATTGTGCTGTGAGCTCAGAATGACTCGCCGTCAGACCCGGGATAACAGCAACGGTAATATGAACAGGTGGTTCTATTCTTGCCGAGGATGCCACCACATGGTTTTCGATGATTGGGAGGGCATCAGGGATGGCAACCCGCTGTGCGAGTGTGAGGAGACTTCTCGTGGGCAGGTAGAGCTTGGCTGTGTTTATGTTTTCCGCTGCGCGAGGGGGGAGTGTGAATATAGAGAGGAGCTTGAGGAGGATGAGGAGGACGAGGAGGATGACTAGGATGGGCCTTCCCCTCTGGTCTCTAGATGTCTTGACGTCTAAATTAGGTTGGAATTGATGCAGTTTGAACAAAAATGAGACGAGCTAAGATGACCCTGTAATCCCATGAAGGAAGAATGTGAAGATAAAGTTTAGGTCAGAAACCAATCTAATCTAAAGGATGACATATTCTTAGCAGAGCTTTAATTTCTGTGTCTCTGAGAGGTGACTGCTTTCGTCAGCACAAGTTATGTCAAAACAGCGGGGTACCCGACCATCATCATTTGCACTGTGACTCGGTAGAGCTGTCTCCTGCTGCAATAGTGACTAAGCCAGAGGAAAGTCGAATTGTTTATGAAAGGCAAATATAGCAATTTGTGATAGTCCTAAGCTGAGCTTGTTCCCTGACTGACATACTAATAGTCTCGCCAGAAGCTCTACATCATCGGTATCTAGGTTGGTAAACTTGAGATAGGAATTGATGATTTCAATTATAAATCCCTCCTCGTTAACTCCATCTGGCAGGACACCCGGTAGAAAATAAGCATCGTAGCCTGTGTGGAACTCTTCGCTTCGGGAATCAGTAATTGGTGATTTATAGTAGTTGGCGCCCCAGCATAAGATCTCTTGGGGTGGAGCAAACTTGACATCATCGTACACAATCTATGATTCTTTTGCAGCCTTCTCTTTAAGGTCAGGAAGGATTTGACGCTACCAAGAAGAATGGAAACCATTACAGATTAATTCTATTCCTTTGCTGTGTCTGCTCGTTGGCCTGTGCCCTGATCCTTTCTGTCTTTTACTAAGATAAGTGGCAGGGATAACGGCACTACTGGCGTACAAATAAGAATAGATCAGGAAGAGAGATAAGCTTTTGCAGCACCTTAAAGCCATCAGTGTCACTCAGTATAGCATGTAAATACTCTGTCCTGAAAAGAATTATCACTGACAACCCTGAAATGGTTATAGTCCTGAGTAACCCTTTCACTGACACTCTGTGCATGGTGACGATGATAGGGGCGGAGGCTTTACTATAATAAAGATAAAGGAGTACTGACATTCAGTCTGAATGTATACTGCGCATGCGCTAGAGACCTTTTAGTCTCCCTAGCCTTACTCTTCTCCATCACGAAAGGCCTGAATTGCAACCATGATTTTCCCCGCAATGAGGAGGCACCATCAGGATGGCAGGCTCCTATTGAATTATAAGTCCAAATGATCTGGGAGCAAGAGATGGAGCAGTGTATCAGGCTTTGTGACAAGATTCATGGAGGTTGCCTCCTACTTGGACGAGGTCCTGTTATCAGTTAATCTACATAATATATCTACCACATGGTCCATCAGGATGGCCAATTAGGGTGGAGCATAAGTTCGGAATAGCAGACGACACGACTACAGCTCTGTGATTGCTAGATATAACTTTATTGCATGATATGAGGACACATAAAGTATAAATACTGATAGCAGCCTCTCTATTATATGCACATCTCAATAGTCGTTTTCCTGCATGGTAAGACAAGGTTATCGTCGGAGTTCCAGCCCGTAACTGTGGCAACTCTTCCCGACAAGCCACTGAACTCTGTAACACCTGCGGCAGGGGCAGTAGTAGGGCAGTAGTAGGGCAGTAATATGGCAGTAATATGGCATGATCTGTCTATTCGGAGATATCTTATCGGGATTGCATCTCGAATGAGGTAATATGTAAGGCTAGTCATATATCTCCAAGATAAACATTCTATTGACGCTATATAAGGATTAGACTGAAATGACAGGGACAGACTTCAGGCTGCAGCCACAGATTTCCGGCCCGGTGCCGGTCCGGTTAGATGCGGCGTGTGGCTTGCTACAAGGCTGGATGACAGCCTAATTTCATGGTTCACGGCTGGCAGGAAAACTTTGAGGAAAGAGTGACTGTCAAGAGGCAAAGTAGCTGAGAGTATCCTCTGCAAAGATGATATGATTCCAGATCTCAGAGTGGAGTGCTGATGCTCTCCACTGGGTATGGAGTTTTTTGGGTGTAGATGTGTTTCCATTAGGTAAAATCTGGGGAGATGGGTCTTCCCCAGATCATATGATCTGGCTAGAATAATCCAGGGTCTAGAAGAGCGAGCAGCATGAATTGACAGACACCTCCGATCTGCCTATTGTGCCTGCGATGTCCTGCAAGTCAACTGCATAGACATACATCTGCAGTCCCGATGAGTCTATCTGATGATTTCCTCCTACCTCCGAATTATCTGCTAATGTGCGCTCGCTAAAGCCACAAGGATGAATTGCCCTCTACGGCCAGAAGCTAGGCCATCACCAGACTAGCGTGGCTCTAAATCCCTCGTGTTTGCTCCTTCCAGCCAATCATCCTGCCCGCCACCCCCCGCATCCATGTTCTTATCAGTGGTATACACCAATGACGGGCCGTCCTTGCCTCCTTGGTGTCACTTTTGTCACCGTTCCGGGTGCGGGGGAGCCGGTGAGAAAGAAAGAAAAGAGAGAGATTTATCTTTCGGGATGTTCTCGTGTCTGGGAGGCCGTTGCACGGACACTGGTACCGTGATAGCTAGATAACCGACCTCGGGTCGCCAGAAAAAAAATCCTACTTAATCCTCCCTTCCCCCCAGTCCACCGTCCACCCCCAGTTTCTCTCCATTTCTCTTCCTTTGTATGCCTTGTACTCTCTGAGAAATCAAGGATCAAGGATCAAGGATCATGGATAAAATGGCGGAAGAAAAACCCACTACCACTTCGGCCGACTACCATGACCCCGAGGCCAATGTCAAGCATGGCACCATGCAGGCCCTGGTCGAGCGCGACCTGCTCGACGAACGGTACAAGATCACCGAGCGCGGCCTCAAAAACCGTCATGTACAACTGATGGCGCTGGGTGGCACCATCGGAACCGGTCTGTTTGTCGGATCGGGACAGGCGCTGGCCATCGGCGGTCCTCTGTCGCTCCTGCTCGGATACATCTTCATTTCCGTCCTGGTGTATGCGCTGGTGACGGGGATGGCCGAGATTGGCGCCTATCTGCCGGTGCACGGAGGGACAATGAGCTACCACGGGTTCCGATATGTGTCGCGCAGCATGGGCTTCGCCATGGGCTATCTCTACTGGTATTCGCTGGGCATTCTGGTGCCCTACGAGATTGTCGCCGCGTCCATGGTCATCGATTACTGGCATCCCGGCGTGCACATTGCCGTGTGGATCTCCGTCATGCTGGTCATCATTGTGCTGCTGAACTTCATGCCCGTCAAGGCCTACGGCGAGACCGAGTTCTGGTTCGCCGGCATCAAGATCATTACCCTGATCGGCCTGCTGATGATGTCCTTCATCCTCTTCTGGGGCGGCGGCCCCAACCGCCAACGCC